AGTAACTTCATAACGCTCATTTTTATGACTGAACTACTCCTAGTGCTCTAAAAAAGTTTTTGTTTTTACGACTCATTAACGGACCAATTTCGAACAGATACTCAATAAAGTCGGTTTGTGCGATAAACAAGATGCTAAGTGGACACCAAAACAAGGAAGTGATCAAGGGCCGAAGCTCAGATCTTCTTCATTTTTTATGAGTGATTTATCTAGGGAAGATATCAATTCCGTGAGATTTTCGTTTGCACTTTTCCGAAAAATTGTTTAATTTAAAATTAGAAATTTGTTGATTGAGAATGGACAATGAGAAAATTTACTGTAAAACATGTTCGCATAGGATGCTGATATAAAATTAGAACTAGTTTAAAAGTCAATCGCAGCAAAGACCTCGGTGGTTTCTGCAGGGCGCAAGGTAAAAGTTGCGTATAAAACTTTGAACACTACAGTCTTAAAGTACCAAACTTCCCCGAGAAAATCTAGTTGTTACACTTTCTGCATTCCACAAAAAAATCATTTCCTTTGAAGTGACTTGCCCTTACCACAACCCCACCAAGTGTTTCACACAGTTTCCCCAACAAAATCCCCTTAAAATCCAAAAAAACGCCCCGATTTATCCCCCTAAAAGCCGTCTTGTCCGGAAATCCATAACGGACTGCATAACGATGACACAACTCATCCGACACCTGTTTCGAATTCTGCGCACTCCATAAAAAAGATAAAAAAGTTGCCGGAAAAAGGATGGCAGAAAAAATTCGTTAATGCCGAGTGAGGAAGAAATATTATGACTCAAAAAGAATTTATAATCGCTCCGAGCTTAAAATATAATATCTAATATCTAAGTCGAATCGGCAAAGAGCCCGATTTCAGGGAGTAATTTTATGGAAAAAATCATAAATTTCCAAGCAAAAAATCTCAAAATTAAGAACGATTTAGAAATTAATGCTCGATTTCTCTCTCCGAATGCAGTGTAAGCATCAAAATTCTTCGAGTATCACTATTTTTTGCACCAAAATGTTTGCGAAAGTTCTAGTTTTAATCTCGCCAAAAAAAAGTTTAAAGTGCAACGCAATGCGGATCTGATTACAAAAAGCAGTTGTTGCGCAACAGAGAAATCGCTCTCTATGAAGTCGAGAGTCCCGACCAGACGCGATTGGCACAAAGGAAACAGGGAGAAAAGTGTGTTGGCCTTATAAGCGCTGGTATAATACGATTGCTTTTTGATTGGCGGCGAATAATCGATATTCTTGTGTAAACTTGGACGGAAAATTGTGAGGATTTGTGGAAAGAGGACTACGGGTCTTTTACTGTTTGCTACAGTTGAATTGGACACGGATTTGGCTTGTTATGTGATCATTTCAATTGATTTCTTTTCAAAAAAACGGAAAATGTCGCAAAAAAGCTTTTTTTCATTAATCGGACACGCAAAATTGTAAAGGACACTTCATGGGTCATATTTTACATATTTAAATTTTAAACCACAATTTTTCCATCAAAAAATCCTCGCATTTGCCTATTTTAACCCCAAAAAACCACCTCCAAAGCCTCTCTGACGTTCGAAGCACAAAAAGAAGCGCTCGAGACCGTGTGCGTTTTTAGTCGACTCGGTAGAGCGTTCGCTTTTGGTTCAAACGGACGCGGGTTCGATTCCCAGTGGGGGCGTTGACGAGAAAACACAGACCTGTTCTGAAGGACAACTTGTGGAATTGTAGTTTAACGGAGCCTTCGATTTTGCAAATTTTTGAAAATATATTTTTTGAGGTTGATTAAAGGATATATTGAAGATATTAAAAAAGCTCATTTTTTTGATTTTGCTGTCCAAGAAAGAGCAAACAAAATGGTAAAAAAATATGAAATATAATATTCTACTGTACATATCATGAGGTCACAAATATTACGCAACATAATGAATAATATTTTCTTAACTGACCGATTAAGGCGAAGATCAGTGGCTAGATTACATCTAGATAAGTGTGGGAAACCATCGATTACATTACGCAACAACTAAACAGATCAAAAATCTCTCAATATCCTATAAATGGATGCGGAACCAACATTTTCAAAAAAAGTTAAATTTCCAAACATAATTAAAAGTTGTAAAATCCCAAAATGAAGCCGCACTGTCAATCAAATGGACCATTTCTTCCTTCTTTTCTGTTGGTTCCCTCATTTAAATCGGCCTTTTTTCTATTTTTTCATTTACATAAAAATTGGAAAAAAACTTCGAACTGTCAATCAACTTGACGCCGGATGAGTAAATGAAAAGACCTTGAAATTAAAAAAAATAAATGTATATATATGCGAATATGTGTACTATGACAAGGCAACTTTATACATACATATTTATATACATTTACGCATAACAAAACACTTTTTACCCGTTTTGAATCAATTTACAATGCGATCAGACTGAAACCGCAAGTGGCCGGACGTCATCAGGGCTCTCCTTAGTGTGGTATTTCGATCTTAAGTGACAACAAACTATGAAAAAGAAGACAAAAAAGATAATGGCCAAGACGGGATCTGATTCATGGCATTTTCTTCTAGCTTCGTCGTGTGTCGATCCTTCTGTCATTGTCCGATTGACGCATTTATTAAAACTGTAACTTGACGAGCTGGAAGAGTGATAGCTTCCACCGTAACTGAATGAACTATGGCTACGGCTGCCGCTTCCTCGGGATCCACTGCTTCCTCGGCCGCCTCCACCTCGGCCTCCTTTCGAGAATGTGGTTGGTAGGACAAGGAGGAGTAGTATAAAGCATATTGTGGGCTTGGTCATGCAACGAGTCTGAAAACATGGTTCGTCTAGAATCAAGATGTCAACTAAATCAACTGACAAGGACCGCAAGTACCACGCTCCGATGTTTTTCTCTCCGCCGAGGCAGTACGCAAAGCACGGGGAGCGGGAGAGAGGAAAATACACCTTTTGGCCGTATTCTTGCCAGTTTTGTGCGGAAAAAATTTTGTTTGTGTAAGCTGTCTTCGGTGGAAAGGGAAATGACACGCTTCATGTCGAAATTCGAAAAAAATTTCACATTTTAGCCAACCTTCGACCAAAATGGGGATGGACACCTTTGGCGGGCCCGCACTTGCGCACAACCACTTTGCATGCAACTAGAAAACCACGGGGCGCTGCGGGTATGTTTGGAAATCAGCCAACATTTCCTTACAACATGAAATTCTGACGGTCGATTTGACAGTCATATATTGCAAATTAGGTTTTCTGGTGTATAAGTGGTTTGAATAGTTACCATATGGTTAACCAGGCGTTTTTACCACTTGTTGAAAACAAGCACACATAACTTTGAAAGCGGTGGATGAGTTCAACAGATTTGTGTTTTTCTCAGTCCCAGAGTTTTCAATGCAAAATTTCTATCATCCTACGTAGATTACGGGAGGAAAGTCGTAATGTCGGAAAATGTGGTTTCCCGCAAAGTGGTTGCCCGCAAGTGTCGCGACGCCGCACCTCCCCCAGACAGAGGCCAACGAAAAAAATATCCTATAGTCTATTAAGATATGGAGTTTAGGCTTCATGACCGAGCTTCTAAAATGCCATCTAAATTCAATGAAAAACCTGTGACCGAACATAGAAGTCTTTTCTAAAACCCCCAAAGGAAAAAAACTGCTAAGCAACCGAGAGCACCAAAGCAATGTCTAAAAAACAAACTGCTGATCAGACTCAGAAGGTCTTATAAACAAGTAGGAACCCAGTTGTTCTTACAGTCTGTGACGTGCGTTCTTTTTTTGTGTTCCAAGAAAACCCCTGCGCTAGAAAAAAGTTTTAAAAAACAAATTACCGGGTATCCTTGACCACTGAATCACCTTTTCGTTTTCGAAACTTTCAGTGATGTCGAGTTAACGTAAAATCAAGTGGTTTTAGCGGAAACAGGGCGCATTACTCAGCATAATGAAGTGGATATTTCCGTTGATTATTGGTCGCAAATGACTAATCAGGTCTGTTGTTTCGGCTATTACTAGAACTACAGTGACGGACCTGATCCAGTGGCAAAAAACGTACCATTTCGCATTTCGCGACTTATCGAAGAATGTGGCGAAATGCCTCTTTCCAACTAAAAAAAACTCCGTTTTGAAGGGCGCGCCCTTTCCCTCGCAAAAAGAGCGGGCGCGATTTTGAAATTTTTCAGGAGATATTTTGCTATATTTTTTGATACTTCCCGGATGCAAAATGGCACGGTTTTTGCCACTGAATCAGGTCCGCCACTGTATTTACTCCGTCTGGAAAAGGCGGCAGATTTTTAATGCGAGGAAATACTATGTAATATTTCTATTCGCTTTATCAGTGCTTTCAAAGGGTTTTTTAATTGAGAGACGGCAAACTTGGGAGAAATACAAAAAGAAGCGTTTATTGACGCAAAACTCTTATTTATCAACGAAATGTAACTATAAGCATCTGCTAAGCCAATCCAAATAGGGTATAGATAATCGTAAGAAACTTATCTTTCTACGCGAGAAGTGCAATAAAACACACGTGATTGTGACACTTTATGTACTACACATGTCAATAAATTCTCTAATCTATGCGAGATGGTTTTTGAACAGCTCTACCCGCTGTTTTGCCACCTCTTCCAACCGTCGGAGGTGCTCAATATAGTTAGCGTTTGCCAGATCAGTTGGTATGTTCGGTACGTGGTCTCCAGTTTGCTACATATTCTCATGGTAAGCCCAAAATTTTCCAGCATCTTTTTCGAGGCCTTTGTCGGTCGGAAATCTTTCAAACGGTGACTTCCATCCTGCGAAAACATGGAGCCGATTGCGACGTCTGCAAGTCAATAATGCGGAATAAAATTGGCTTAAAAAACTGCCTTGGCTTCCTTAAGGGATTTACTGGGATTTTCATAAAGTGCATGGACATTTATGTGATTTGGAGATAACAGAGAGGCCCAAAAAATAGGTATAGAAAAAAAGTGAAAAAAGTTGACGTTAAAAAATATATAAAAAGACACTACATTTTTTATTCATACCCATTCAATTCGGTATCGAAATTATACGACATGCCTTGCGAATTCGATAGTATTTTGATGATAATCCAATCTCACACAGTAACAATAGTACAGCACGTGGCTTAACAGCCAATGGACGTTGTCCGGGTTGATGTCAACCGCGTTTATAGCGACTGATACCAAATCTGAATCACCTGCGTCGAAAAAATCCCGTAGATCAAGGCGAAATCCATTGTCAGTTGTAAAATAATACTGCGACTTGAATTTCGTTCGGTTAAAGACATAAAAGTTTTTGTTGTCATGCATTTCTCGTGGAGCTAAGACGTTCTCGTTAATGAATGCATTGAGTAAAAATCTTGGCATACCAACGATGTCGTCGCCGACGAGGATCGCCTAAAATGGACCTAGTGGTATTTTACTGCTTCAAATAAATTTTCAAAACTTTGGGAGAGAATATACTGTTTTTGTTCACAGAACCTACCCTTGACCTTTCATCAGATTCATGGGTCAATAATCTATACCCACTAAGGCCTAGCATCCACTCTCGGTCCCCCAACGATTCCACTTTATTCCACGGGCTCCGGCAATGCTCGTTGTGATAGTCGCCGATGGCTAGTTTATAGTGTGGAGCATGGACGATTGTTACCACAGCCGAAGAGACCCTTCCTTGGTCGTAAAGCCTTTCCACAAGATTTTTGGAGTCTGGACTTCTCGCCAACCCGATTTTGTCTCTAAAAATGACAAAAGCCCGGCGCACACTTACACTCCACTATCGAAGAAGTAGTTGAATATGAGTTGGATGAGCACCAGCGCAATATCCGTACGACCAATACTAAATGCTTCCTGATTTTCGAGTTGGACAAAAACTTCATCTTCAGCGTAGACACCATACGATTGCAAGGTGGGCGAAATCCAAAAGCGATTACTGACCTTTAAGAGCGTTGAATTTTTGTCGTAAGCCATTTCGGACTTCGTGTCGTATTTTTTTATCGATGCCTTAGGGAAGCAGCAGGCCATCGGACAGTAGAGACGGCAGAATTCGGCTGAAACGGTGGTATCAGTAAAATGAAGGTATCCCAAATGTGACATGCTCTTTCCTTCCAATTTTGCCCAGGGTTATACGTGAGCCCCTGAAACGGTGCAACATACACAATGCGAAATGAACGCGTTCGAAAAAGGTTGAGACTGTACGTTCTTCATTCGCACTTTTCAGCCTTTTTCTCGCCCGAAGCCACTTCGCAACGCCAACCGCACCGTACGAAAACATATCAAGAGCTTTTGGCTCGTCTAGTGTCTGATTGTGAGCGTGTGGTGTAGGATCAAACGTACAGTGAGGGACCGGATCCAATGGTAAAAAACGTCTCATCTTGCATCCCGGAAGGGACGAAAATGTCTCCAAACCCTTCCCTTCGCTAAGCTAAAAAACCCCGATTTGAAGAGCCCGCCTTGAAGGAAAGGGCGCGCTTTTCAAAGCGGAGTTTTTTAGCTTACAAAGGGAATGGTTTGGAGTCATTTTGGTCCCTTCCGGGATGCAAAAGGAGACGTTTTTTGCCATTGGATCAGGCCCCTCACTGTAGATATAGATAGGTATTGCGAATAGACACAGGACTAAGACCAGATTTTTTGCGACCGCACGCCGGGAAAAGAGAAATGAGATTATTCTTCCGTGATTGGTGACGCGAAGTTGCTTTTATAGGAGTTGGTTTATGCTAATTTGTTTGGGAATTGTGGAGGCTTTTGAGGCTCCACAACAGAGCGTCGCATTTTGAGCAAATGTTTATAAACCTTCTTACGCGAGGAACAGTACTTCCGACAATGTCCAAACGCGTCTTCATCATCGAGAGTGGCACGAACGCTGATTTCAGACGTTGTCAATGAGAACTGGGGATAGAGACGCTGCTTATTTGATCCAAAACGTATAGCATCGCCTAGAATAAGGGAGAGAAAAAAAAATAAAAAAGTGTAACAGTCTGATTTAAAATGTCAGTGACCTTACTAGTTTCAACAAACAGCTGATCAATATTGAAAATTAGATTTCGCCGATTTGTTCCGCTTGACGACAAATTAGTGGCAACAACAAACTTTGTAACTATCAAAAGTGCGAGAAACATCATTCGCCTTTGTTAAGACTGACAAATCAAAAAAATTGCTCTAGGAAGCAAGGTGTGGCCCACTATTTAGTGTGATGGAAGGATGAGTTGATCTCCTTTCGTGACGATCATTGATCAGGCTTAGTTTTAAGTAAGAAGATTGCTAGTCGCCCTATAAAGCGCGTAGAATCTTTTTCGCCGTCGTCGCGGGTGTGATCGCAGAAAAGTGCATGTCGCTAATGCAAAAACGGGAAGTCGCAGCGCACGGCAACCCAGGGAGTCTCCCGCCTCGTTTCGGCGCTTCGCCCACCTTGTATCGGTTGAATTCAAACGAAATGTCAAAAATGAATTTTCGTGTGGTTTTCCGACAGAAACACGATTATGATCACAGGGGACTCGGATTTACTTATATGTACGCCTTTTTTACTTATATGAAATTGAAGTTTATATAAGTAAATAAACGTACATATAAGTAAATAATCGTACATATAAGTAATTCTGAAATTACTTATATGTAAACTTTATTTTCGGCGCTCCACAAATTTACTTATATTTACAAATAAGGATTTTTTACTTATATTTACCAATAAGGATATTTTACTTATTTGTAACCCAGAATTATGCACAGTGCAGATTATATTATAAACGTTTATTTTGATTCTCAAAAACAACAAATACATGTGGATAACGCATCTTGTGTGCTCCGGATAGTTTTCTCATCTGTTTTTGTCCTTATGAGGCATCAATTGCTTGCTTTCGAGATCTTCTATGGGGACTTCTGCGTCTGCATTCACTGAAAATAGTAACAAATAAAGAAGATAAGGTCGTTCGACGACATTTACTATAAGCCCTTCTCAATTGTTTGTGCTTCTCCACCCCGAAAAATTAGTTTTAGGTTCACCAAGTTTGTAAATGAAATTTCGAGACACTAAGTTTTTCATGTTGTACTAGGTCCAGGTGAATATTCTCAACATACCTGAATCATCCGAGTGCCATTTTTCCGGGATCGTGTGTATTGTCCATTTACTACCCTCCACGACCAATTTTTTGATAATCTGAAACCTAGAGGCTTCACCTGGACCTAGTACAACATAGCAAAACTATGTCTGGAAAAATCTTTGAAATGTGAAAGCAGTTTAAAAAAACACCTACCAAGTTTGAGCAAACAATTCCTCATCCAAATTCCTGCCTCATAGTGCTTGTTTATAGATTTTTTGGAACTGCGTGAAGTTTGACGCTCCGTGCTCTGGAAGGTTCTCACGTTCGCGACTTTTGATCTGAGTACTCTGTTCTCCTGTAAAAAAAAAAACTGACTACAAGCATCTTACTTTATTCGGTCCGAGGTTGAGATACGTTCTTTGGCGCTCCAAAAACTTAGAATTTTTCCAAGTCCGGCCAACGCGTGCAGAAACCAAAAAGCGTCTTTGACGCTCAAAAGTTTTCTTTTCGAGGCTCATATATGTACATATAAGTAAAAATGAACGAGCTCCGCCGTTTTTTACATATAAGTTCCGCTATTTGTAAATATAAGTAAATAAACGTAAATATAAGTAAAAATAAATAAGCCCCGCCTTTTTTAACTTATATGTAAGTTATTGGTAAATATAAGTAAAAAATTTTACTTATAAGTAAATCCGAGTCCCCTGTGATGCCATGTTCGAAAAATATTTTTCTCGGAATTATTTTATTTCTTTTGTGAATTTTGACACTTCGTTTGGACGAAATTCAAAAGTGGGCGGGAGACATTTTTGTTCTATTTTGGGTTGCCGTGCAGCGGCCCGGGAAAAAAAACGCACCATGCAAATTCTACGGACTTTATGTGCAAATTCTACGGACTCTACTATGAGGTGTTGTGGGCACAGACTGAAGCTGTGTTGAAAAAATACTTTAAAACGCGTTTTATTACAAATCGTAGTTTGGCCCGGACATTGTTAAAATCAGTGTCTCAGAATTGAACGAAAATTGGTCAACTTAATCACTGATAGGCACAAAACATTCGCTTTCTTTGTTTTTGCCCAAAATTACCGTATGACGGCATACTGTAACATCATTTTTAAAAAAAGATATGCCCTAATCGAGAAAACGCAGCGCTATTTCAGCGCAATTTGAGTTCAGGTATATGTTTTCGATCATGTAGAACATTTTTGTAATTGTCACCGAAAACTAAAAATTACATCTAAGCTTTGTTACACTTGAGACAACATACCATTTCGGGTATAAAAAATGCAGTTCGGACGAGGCGCAGATTTTGAAACCGGAATACTAAACTTCAAGCCTCGTCCAACAAACTATAAAAATTTCAGAAAGATCAAATATATAGTTTTTGAGATATCGGACATTCAATGTCTCATGTGCAAGATCACCTTGACCCGGAAAAAATCTGGCATTCTTAGGTTTTTGGCTAGGCGCAGATTTTGAAAGTTTCCAATACATTCTTATGAGATTTTAGGAGGATATAGAAAGTTTCAGAGGAAAAAATGAATAGTTTTTGAGAAATCGTCCAAAATACCTTGTTTTAGGTCATCAGAACACAGAATCGTAGCCATCGGCGTACATTTGACAAAAGTTTTGCAGAGAGCTCGAATTTATTTGTGACAATTTGGAAAAAAAAACTGTAACACACACATATATCTCGGAAAAAAAGAGATGCCGAAGAAAATTGGTCGAATTTTCCAGCAACTTGACCTATAACAGGTTCACCATGGTCGATATCTCAAAAACTATTCACTTTTTTCCTCTGAAACTTTCTATTTCCTCCTAAAATCTCATAAAAAAGTACTGGAAACTTTCAAAATCTGCGCCTAGCCAAAAACCTAAGAATGCCAGATTTTTTCGGGCATCTGATGACCTAAAACAAGGTATTTTGGACGATTTCTCAAAAACTATTCATTTTTTTCCTCTGAAACTTTCTATATCTTCCTAAAATGTCATAAAAATGTATTGGAAACTTTCAAAATCTGCGCCTAGCCAAAAACCTAAGAATGCCAGATTTTTTCGGGCATCTGATGACCTAAAACAAGGTATTTTGGTCGATTTCTCAAAAACTATTCATTTTTTTCCTCTGAAACTTTCTATATCCTCCTAAAATCTCATAAGAATGTATTGGAAACTTTCAAAATCTGCGCCTAGCCAAAAACCTAAGAATGCCAGATTTTTTCCGGGTCAAGGTGATCTTGCACATGAGACATTGAATGTCCGATATCTCAAAAACTATATATTTGATCTTTCTGAAATTTTTATGGTTTGTTAGACGAGGCTTGAAGTTTAGTATTCCGGTTTCAAAATCTGCGCCTCGTCCGAACTGCATTTTTTATACCCGAAATGGTATGTTGTCTCAAGTGTAACATAGCTTAGATGTAATTTTTAGTTTTCGGTGACAATTACAAAAATGTTCTACATGGTCGAAAACATATACCTGAACTCAATTTGCGCTGAAATAGCGCTTCGTTTTCTCGATTAGGGCATATCTTTTTTTAAAAATGATGTTACAGTATGCCGTCATACGGTAATTTTGGGCAAAAACAAAGAAAGCAAATGTTTTGTGCCTATCAGTGATTAAGTTGACCAATTTTCGTTCAATTCTGAGATGCTGATTTTAACAATGTCCGCCCTCTGTTAGGCTAAGCTCCAAAGTGCGGCAAAACGCGTTTTAAGACATTGTCGGAAATCATCTTGTAAAAAATGATCTCTGACTACCAGGGTTACCCTTGCGCCGTCGAGAAAATGAATTGTGTCGCAGCGAAATAAAATTCCTTTTTACTGCAGCGGCACGAACGGCGCTGAAATATTGTGTACTGGTAATGCAAATAACGGTGGGCCAGTTCTACTAAAAGAAGAGACGTTATGAGCTTTTAAGAATTGTTGAGTGTTAATTTGTATATTCCGCATACCCACACCGCTTCCGAACTTCAACCTTCGACTTTAAAATCGTTAATGCCGGGCAAGATGACTTAATAGTGATTATGTGTATTATCGTTACAAACCAATAAAATTTAATATATAGACTCAATGTGATATAGTGCACGAAAACGACGCAGGTTTCAATGAAAATTTTATCGTGAATGATTTCATTGAGCAGTTTGGATTCTGATAAACAAATTTGGCGGCATCGCATTTCCGCCGCTTAGCATTTACGACCGGGGTGTGGCACCGGCACAAGATATTTTGAAAGTATGGATGGAGCAGGGAAAGCTTGATATTTTTTTAATTAAGAACGCTTATCAGTCCCTTTTGTCGTTGCGAAAGGGTATTTAAGACGCACAACGAACGATGCCCCTCAACAAAAGCTCTGGCTGAGAATGGTTCGTACCGTTCTGGTAGGGTTTTTTGTGGCCGCGGCCGTGCTGGCCTCACCTATTGGTAAGTAATTAAATTATGTGCGGGAACAAAGCCGATGACCCTAACCCGTTGTTTGAGTTGGGACAGTCCTTTATGTTGCAGATCTCAAGTAATAGCGGTTCTCGTTTTCAGACCTGTCGGTCCAAGATGGCAACGGCCTGAACATCCCAGACCCAGTGGAAGTTGACAAGAGCAATGAAAAAGCCTTTGAGGCCTACGATTTCTTCAAGACCTCGCTTGCCAAGAGCGGATCGTTGAAGGCTTCTCCTTGCGATGACTTCTACAACTACACTTGCCAAAACATGGACCTCAGCAACTATTTGGTCGGCATGGATGTTCAAAACAGCGAGTACGTCATTCGTGGTTTGAAAAAAGAGAGAGTAAGTTGCCATCCTGTTACCGTAATTCCATTTCTGACGTGCGTTACGACCGATTCTTTTTCAGGACATCCAATGGTTCAAAACTATCAAAAAGGAGTTTGATGCTTGTGTTAAGCGTCAAAGCTCCCGCCTCTCCATGCACCAAAACGGCGCCGTGTTGAGGAAGATCTTTGACAAGGTCAACATGGAATTCGGCCCGAGCTTCCCGCTCTTGGAAAAGATCGACCCCGCTGCGATCGACTCCAGCGTCATCGGAGATTTTGTTGGATTCTTGGCTCAAAAGTTCCGTCTTCATACGTTCTTGGCCTACGAAATTGAGGGTGGACGAATCCTTCTTGATGAGCCCAAGCTCGCCTTCCCCGAATCCTACTTTACCGAAGCTTTCGGAGAATTCGAAGCCGGATACAAGGCCTCCATGCGAGACTATCTGACCCAATTGTCACAAGCTTTGAAGAAACCGATCGACACTGTCACCATGAACAAAGTCATCGATGAAGTTGTTGAATTTGAAAGAGGACTTGCCCAAGCTCTCAGCCAGATCCCACAAGAGGTTTCTTCTCTTGTTGGAGCAGCTGAACTCAACTCTAACGGAAAGGCGATCAACGTCAACGCTTACCTGGCCCGAATTACAAAGAACGCTAAGCGAAGCGACCTGTTGTCCGCTCACAATGTCCAACTCAACTTGGCTGCCCCAACCAAGATGGATGTTCTCCAGGCCTACGTTGCTCAAGCAAATCCTGAAACCGTCATGAACTACTTGAGCATCCGTCTGATCAGAAGCTTGAGGAAGTACTTCGTTAAGAAGCCAGTTGAGTCTGTTGCTGACCAGTGGCTCAGAGAACAAAGAGGCGTCAAGGTTATGGGAGTCTTCCCTCCACAGCCAGTAGAAGACGAATTTGGAGACGGCACCCCCGCCGAGAGGAGCTGTGCCTCATCTCTTTCATACCGCTACCTCAACCAAATCGACCGTATCTACTTGGACGAACAACTGCCCGACCTCAACGACAGAAAGGCTTTCGTCAACAGAATTGCCGTCATCACCAACAAGATCATCAACGGTTTCCGCTTCCAGGTTGACCAACTTTCTTGGTTCAGTCCTAAGGTCAAGGAGGCCGCTTACAAGAAAATCGATGCCATGCTCTTCAACGTTGTCTATGACGACTGGATCGAAAACGATGACATCTTGAACGAAAGAACCCGTTTGGTTGATGACATTGATGAGAACGACGATGACTTCACTGCCAATGAAAAGATGGACGACTTTGCACAGGCCCTTGAATGGGAAGGTCTTGTGGGAGGTGGCCGTGACCAGAACTTCAGTCGTTCTATCAGAACTGTCAACGCTTGGTACAACTTCCGTCTGAACCACTTCTACATCCCTCTCGGTATCTTGCAGCGACCAATCTTCGACGTCAACTTCCCCGCAGCCCTTCATTACAGCAGTGTTGGGTACATTGTTGGTCACGAACTGACTCACGGCTTCGACTCCAACGGAGTTAACTATGACGACCAAGGCAACCCAAACCCATGGATGGACGCTTCATCGAAGGCCAACTTCAATGAAATGGCGAAATGTGTCATTGATGAATACACCAGGCTCCACAAAAGAGGAAGGATGACGCAGACCGAGGATATCGCCGACAATGGAGGTCTCCGTGCCTCCTGGAATGCCTACAAGGCCGAACAAGGTCTTTATGGATCAGACCCTCAACTTCCGTCATCTCCATCCAACAAGTACACACAGGACCAAATCTTCTTCCTCGGGTTTGCACATGTTTGGTGCTCCAACAAGCCCAAACAAGACTACGGATTCGATCCTCACTCGCCGCTCCTCTACCGAGTCTGGGGTACCCTTCAGAACTTCCCTGCTTTCCAAGCCGCCTACAACTGTCCCGTCGGGTCAGCCTATGCTCCAAAAGAACACTGCGACGTTTGGGCTTCGGAAGTCAAGATCTAAGGAATGTAATTTAAAATTTCTTGCTGTTTATTTGACGTATTATGAACATAAAGAATAGAAATTCGTCGGAGTTGATAAAATGTTTGCAGAGCAGTAATCAAAATCAGGAAACCTGCGTATCCGTCATCATCAAAAATCGATTTTTTTTAAATTATAAATGTTAAGAAAATCACATAATTTTTTGTTAAGTAAATATACATTTTTATGCACTACCCTTCATTTCCACGTCCTTAAGGTGCGGTCTCATAGTAGTTATACTTTATACCCTGCTCGTTCTGTCGGATAGCGACATGGAAAGCCCATTTTATAATAGCATGAAATGCTGATAATAAAGAAAACGGGCTTTGATAATCGTAGCAGTGGCTAAGCTAACAGGGGAAGTACCCCAAGTGCGACGCTCAGATTTTGATGAAACTTGGCACAAATTTAGAATAATTTTTTCTAAGATATATGCGAGAGTCCTAGCTCGCGCTTTGCAGAAACAACCTAGATTTTTAGATCGAAAGTTGGTCAAAATTTAGGACTTTTTGCCGAATATCGGCACGAAAAGTTTCATGCCTATTTCTACCGTAAAGGATAATGTTTCTACAAAAAATCAAATTTTTCCGCGCGAAACTGCCAAAGTTATGGCCAAAAACCGCTTTTCTCTCTGATCGCTCTCCACGTTTAGCGTGCCCTCTCGGCGGCATAAATCGTGCGATATCTCGGCGGCGCCTGCAAAGCGCGAGCTAAAACTTTTAGGAATTGATGTTTAGTCCATACCCGGCGTGTGTGCAAAATTTAAAGAAAATCTGAGCGTCGCACTTGGGGTACTTCCCTTGTAAGAAAAAATTCCAAAATATAAAAAAAGCAAGCTAACTATAAGCTCTTATCGCTTGATTAGTTTTCAATCTATCAGTCTGTCGGGAAAATAACGGCGGATTGTCGCAGCAGAATGTCTCGCCTCGCCGCTATCGCGCACCAAATCCCCAGCCGCGGCTTTCAGTCGCAGAGCGATGATGGGCGATTTCGAGGCGATCCGCCGTTATTTTTCCGACAGACTGATAACTTGAATAAATAACTGAATTTAGCGCACCTTTCGCAAACAATGTGCTGTGCTATCTTTGGCCTCCTCTTTCTGGTGATCGGAGCGCTGACAAACGAATTAATAAATATCCGGCAACGCATTGAAATCCCTTGCAGCAACATACCGATTCATTCAAATACCATCTTTGGGGAAGGAGTTCGTGATCTTCATGGCCTTGAAGGAAATTTCGATGTCGGGATGGACCATTTTGCTATTCACACCTCGTTACAAAGCCCAAATCACATAAAATATACCGCAACCGGCGAAACACTGTACTTAAAATCGTATCGTTGTACGGCGTTTCTTCCAGGTTTTTTTTTAAACTTATTTTTTTCTTAAACTTGTGTTGTTATTGGAGAGTTCTCTATGCGCAATTCCATTGTCATGAGTTTTGCTAATCACGCAGGAGAAAGTCAAACCCTGCAATTAACGTTGATAAGAAGAAAATAACTACAAACGGGGTCGGGTTACTGTAAGAAAAACCTGACGCGTGGCGTTTCGAAGCATCCACAACTTTGCAAACTCTAAAATACACGCAGTGCGCTAGAGAATGACGTACAATATAAAAATAAAATAGCTCACTAGTAATAGCCACAAAATGATCCGTTTTCCTTTGGGGATTTGTGTCGTATTTGTGCTGATATTTGGTAGGTCATCTTGACGTGATAAATAAATTTAAACAACTTTAGGAGTCTTTGGAAAAAATGATCTAAACATCCCGGCTCCCCTCGAGATCGCCGAGGAAAATCCTGAAGTTTATAAGGCCTACCATTTCTTCGTCAAGTCCTTGATTAAAAACGGCGATTTGAAAGCCTCTCCATGCGACGATTTCTACAACTACACCTGCCAAAATGCTAATGTGGCTGAATGGTGGACGGGTATCGACCGAGAAAACACCGATTTCCTTATCCGTGGTCTCAGAAAGCATAGGGTAATGCTCGCTAAAATATGTAAAAATATCGTTTGGTCTTTCAGGATGCAAGATGGTATCAGCCGATGAAACGGGAATTCGACTCTTGCGTGCATCGGCTAAGGACACCAAACGCGATGCATCGGAATGGAGACGTCTTAAGGAAGATTTTCAACGAGATTTTCGAAGAGTTCGGACCAATCTTTCCGCTGTTTGATAACCCCAATTCGTCTCTTAAGAAAATTAACAGCGAATTTCTTGGAGACTTTGTTGGATATTTGGCGCAAAAATTCGAGATTCACACGTTTCTTGAATTCAAGCTTGAATATGGCCGAGTACTTATTCAGAAATCCAAACTGGCCTTCCCGGAAGTGTATTTTACAAAATATTTTGGCGAGTTTGAAAAAGAATATAAGCAGTCTATGAGGGACTACTTGATTCAACTGAATGAAACGTTTGGCCAGAAGCTGAACGACTCAAAATTGGAAAAGAGCATAAACGACGTCATAGAATTTGAAAAGACGCTGGCTGAGATTTTGAGCCACGAATCTATGGAAGATCAGGGTGAAAATTATATTGGGCAGCCCAAAAATACCGGATTTATCAACCTTCAAGCTTATTTCGACCGAATCACTAAAAATATCCGGCAAGACAGCAGTTTCACATCGAACACATTAAAGATTACCATAGAAGCCCCCAGAAAGATCGACGAAATTCAACGCTTCCTTGCAGAGTCGAGCCCTGAAGTCATGCTCAACTATCTGCACATCCGTTTAGCCAGAAGTCTCAGAAAATACTTCCCAAGGAAACCAGTCGAATCACTCGCCGATCGGTGGCTGCGGGAAGGGAAAGGCGTCACGAAAACGGGTGTCATCCCGCATATTCCTCTGGAGGACGAATATCCGGACAGCACTGACGTTGAAAGGTACTGTGCGAATGCGTTGGGACGCTTTTATGTATATAATAACGCAATGGACAGAGTGTTTTTGGACGAAAAGTTGCCCGACACAAAGGAAAGAAGAGAATTCGTCAAGAGGATAAAGATCATGATCAACCGGATTATCACTGGATTCAGAGTAAGTGCTGCTTTAAAATAGGTGCTTGCATCTATATGCGGTTTGTATACAAATAAAATATTTGTTTGTATAATAGTTCCAACTCGACCAGATTTCATGGCTCTCTTCGAAAGCGATGGGTTCTGCCTTTAAAAAGCTGGAAGAAATGCTATTCAACGCTGTTTATGACGACTGGATCGAAAACGACGACATTATGAACAATCGATCTCGACCCTGGTTTCACGACGACATCGATGTAGACGAGGATGAGTTTACGGCTTACCAACATCTCCTTGAACTGAGCCAGCAGGCTAAATGGAAAGAATTCCTAGCCAACGATCGAAATGCCAATTTTTCCGGCTCGGTGCGAATTGTTAACGCTTGGTACAAACCATGGATCAACCGTTTTTTCATTCCGTTGGGGCTTTTACAACGCCCAATCTTTGACATCAACTATCCGGCAGCTGTTCAATATGGAGGAATTGGCGCGGTAATTGGGCATGAGATTGCTCATGGATTTGACGCGAAAGGAATAAATTACGATGATCAGGGAGAGAAGAGGCCATGGATGGATACTGAGTCCAAACGCAAGTTCAATGAGATGGTCCAATGTGTCATTGGCGAGTACACAGGACTTCACGGAAAGGGTAAAGATACTGGCTTTGAGGATTTGGCGGATAATGCAGGTGGGTTGACTATTGCTCGTCTTTTTTCAACAAAAACACAATACTTTTTTAGGGCTGCGTGCCGCCTGGAACGCCTACAAGTCCGAACAGGCTCTATGCGGCCGCAACCCTCAACTCCCATCTTCTCCCTTCAACAAATTCACTGCAGATCAACTATTTTTCTTGGCCTTTTCTCATCACTGGTGCTCAAACTCGCCGAAACGTTATTTTGAGTATGAAGGTCATTCCCCTCCGCTGTATAGGGTCTGGGGATCGATTCAAAACTTTCCAGCATTCCGAGCCGCCTTCAATTGCCCATCAGGATCGGCATATGCCCCCAAGGAGCATTGTGACGTATGGGCGGGAGAAATTGTGACATAAAAAATTAAAGGCTTTATGTATGTATTTAATTAAAATTTGCCAAGGAAAAATCATGAATTTAACCGAAAAGGAGTGAATTACGACCCTCGGGATGTATATATCCGAAATTTGCTTTCATAGGGTGGTCTGTGCTGACTTAGCGAAGTCCGCGAGTTCACCAAGCTGCCTCAATTGTTCAGTTAAGCTTGTTTGTGCTAAGATCATTGCAATGTCTGGTGTTTAGAAGTTGAAGTTTAAGTGAAGCGTTCTCGAGGATGCATAAAGTAAACGGTCTTTAAATTTTTTGAAGGAAACGCTCTAGACTGATAACGCAAATTGAGGAAGAAAGCTAATTAATAAACTATAGACTACAAAGTAAGGAGCACAGATAACAGAACAAGTATGCTATAATATATATACCCAAAAAGATAAACGTATTACCGTTGTTTCAAAATGCCGTCAATTTTCCATTTCTTCCTTGCAGTTGGCCTGGCCGGTATTGGTAAGGTTTTTAGCCAACATATTGTGAAAACGGCGTCTTCCGACTCTGCGAGACTTGTAGAATGCAATGTTAATTTCAGCAAAAGCCCACAATGACTTGAATATCCCTTTTCCAAAGGAAATTGCGGAAGACAACGACAACTACGAGGCCTACAAATACTTCGCGAAATATGCGGATTACAATATGGAAAGAGAAAACTCTCCGTGTCTGAACTTCTACAATTACAGTTGTCAGTACGCGAATATCAGCAACACTGCGCTTTTGATATCGAAAGAAAATATTGCTCAAGTCGTCAGAGGAATCAAGAAGGAGAGGGTGGGAAACTTTCCATCGTTTTTAAGTGTTACTAACCAGGAATTCACCCCAAGTGCGACGCTTAGGCATTGAGCTTTACTCGCTATGGTACAAGGAGCTTTTGTTGTTTTTTTTCACGGTCATCTCTACAAAGCGCGAGCTAGAAGTCTCGCATATGTGCTGAAAAAATATTGTTCTAATTTTGTCCCAAGTTTCAGCAAGGTCTAAGCGTCACACATGGAGTATCCCCTCTGAATTGCAACAAAAAATAATCAACGATAATCAGTTACCATTTTGTTTCAGAACACCGAATGGTACAGGCTCTTAAGAAGAGAGTTTGACAACTGTCTGCACCGACGGATTAGTCCAGAAGCGGTCCATCAAAACGGCACTGTCTTAAAGACGATTTTAAGAGAGCTGGCGCAAGAATTTAGACTTCCTTTTCCATTTATCAGCACAACGACAAGTCATGCGGGCCTTCCACAACAATTCGGCGATGTTGTCGGCTATCTGGCCCAACGATTTCAAGTGCACACATTTTTGAGCTATAAAATTAAAAACAGAAAACTAATACTAGGAGAGCCACAACTCGCATATCCTGTAAAATACTTTACCATGGCTTTTGACATGTTTGGCGACGGATACAAAGAGTCAATCACGGACTATATAACGCAAGTTTTGGAAGTCTTAGACACGGAGGTGAGTCGTCTGGAGCTAGCAAAAATTGTTGATGATGTCGTGGAGTTCGAACTACGGTTGGCAAGGATTTTGGAGGTCCTACCGGTAGACGACGCTCTCAGGAACGATGCAGCTCAAGAACTTGTGAAAAATGCCGGACAATCTCTTGATTTGAAGGCATATCTGAGAAGAATTTCGAAGAACGTGAGGCAACCCGACGTCTTCGCTGCGCTTACATCGAAAATTCAAGTTGCTCAACCGACCAGACTGCAGGCGATGCAAAGTTTTATCGCTGGCTATAACCCAGTCGTCATCCTGAATTATTTGATCGTCCGCTTGGCCAGAGGCCTCAGGCAATATTTTCCGAGAAAGCCGAAGGAGTGCCTTGCCGATCAATGGCTGAGGGACGGAAGAGGTGTTCAGAACATTGGAACAGTAAGGAAAGTGAGATAAAAACAGAAATTCGAGTAGGCTCTTATTCCACCAACACCACAAATGGATCCGTATCCCGTAGCAACAATGGATTGGCGAGAAGTGGCGTGCGCTGAGACGCTAAATAACATTTATACGTATTTGGTGTCCCGAGTTTTCATAGATGAAAACCTACCTGATCTAAAAAAGCGAACGGAATTTGTGGAGCGAATCAAGACCATTACCAAAAGCGTTACAAATGCGTTAAGGGTAGGTAAAACAAAATTGCGAGATAGGGAGTTTAACATGTTTAGAACCAGTTTGCGAAAGTCCCCTGGCTAACACCAGCGTCAAAAGAGGCAATCTTCAAAAAGCTGGACAATATGAGATCCGCTTTGGTCTACGACAAATGGATGGAGAACGATGAGTATCTGGACAAAAGGTATAGGAAGAAGGAGTTTGCAGGTAATGAAAATACATCAACCTTGTACAACACCTCCTCAAAAGCTCCCGTAACTTGAACCACTCATTTTTTCAGATAATGAAGACGAACACAGCGCCAACCAGCGGCTCAACAACCTTAAACAAGAGCTTGAATGGAGCAGTCTCTTTGCTGACGAAACCCACCAATACTTCCCTATACCGATCATCACCGTCAACGCATATTATGAGCCGTCCTCCAATTTCTTCTGTGTGCCGTTGGGAATTCTGCAGCGGCATTTCTTTGACATCAACTATCCCGCTGCTCTTCAATACGGAATCGCTGGATTTGTCATTGCCCACGAAATTAGTCATGGATTTGATCCACACGGAGTCAGATACAATTACAAAGGAGAAAAGGTGGAATTGCTGGATAGTACGTCAAAGGAAAGTTTTAATAAGATGGTCCAATGTGTGATCGCTCAATACAACCGACGGCATCATCGAGGGGAATACACGCAGACGGAGGACGTTGCTGATAACACGGGTAAGCATGTAGGAAGCAGGTGCCTTTCAAGCCTCTGCACAAGCCTCCAATAATTAAAACCTTTTTTAACATGCGTCACTTTGCCATTGCTAGAGGGCCAGTTTTTCTGTTTCCTACATTAGCATTCTCCAGGTATCCGCGCGGCCTTTAATGCCTATAAAGCCGAACAGGGATTGCACGGCTCTGATCCCCAGCTACCTCAGAAGCCTTTAAATCATTATACGCAAGACCAACTATTCTTCAACGCTTACGCGCAACTTCAGTGTTCAAGTCATCCCACAAATGATCTCCCATTTGAAAGTCACTCTTCGTTGTTTGATCGACTTCACGGAGTCATGCAGAATATGAGGCATTTTCAAGCTGCCTACCATTGCCCAATTGGATCTGAGTACGCGCCGGAGGAATACTGCCATGTTTGGCTTTGAACTACACGTAAAAGACTGGAAAATCAATTTAATACATGCCAATGTGTCAATGCAAATTTTTGAAATGATGGCATAAATTTATTGAAATTATATACACGCAAAAATACATAACAATATGACACGTTGATATATCTTGGCGGCTTTTCAAAAACACGAAAAAACCCGGCGGAGATGAGAGAATATAATAAATTGGAGATTGAGAAGAAGTTGTACACCCTATCTGAAGGTCGTTGTTGATCTATTTTCCATCGCTGACAAGCTTGTCATAGGACATCAGGGACAAGAAGTCGGGGAATTCACTGGCCAAGACGGCCTTTTCCAAAAGCTCAGCGGCTTCTGGGAGTCGGTTGACGACGGAGCCGGCTCTGATTAATCGTCGTTCGGTTTCGGCGTTGATCGTTTGTCTAACCAAGTTGGGGTCAACAGTTCTGCCATCCTCGAGTTTGGCGTCGTGGTGAAGCCATTGCCATAGCAAAGCGCGAGAAACTTCACACGTAGCGTAGTCCTCCATCATGTTGTACAATGGGACACATCCGACCCCACGAAGATAGGAATCCAGATATCCGAGAGTCACCGAGATGTTTCGTCGGAAGCCGAAGTCAGTCCTGGAGCCTTCTGGCACTTCAGTCAAGGTCTTGGCATCGGTCGAGAATCCAGTGAGCTGTTTGTCAATTTGGTTGGGTCCCGGCATCACGTTGTTGTAGACTTCCATAGCCAATGGGATGAGGCCGGGATGGGCAACCCAAGATCCGTCGTTTCCGTCGGTAGCTTCTCGTTCTTTGTCAGCGCGGACGGCAGCGAAAGCTTTCTGGTTTGCGACTTCATCGTGCTTGATGGGGATGTTAGCGGCCATTCCTCCGATAGCGAAGATTCCACGTGCGTGGCAGCGTTGGATGAGGTGGAGAGCGCAGCTTCGCATGAATTGAGAGTTCATGGCTGAAAAGGAAAGACTATCATTTAGTCATGCACAACTCGAACAGTGCTGCTTTCAGTTTTAAAAAAGCCCTTCCGGCCTCTGCGATAAACTTTTCTAGCCAAAAGCCGCCTTCACAAAAAAAATCATTCTAAGACTTACTTAATTGGAATCTGTCCGGCAACAGGAATCGTCGGTGTTGACGAAGCACTTTAACGTAACTGAACAAGTAATCCCAACGGCCAAAGTTCACACCAATGATGTAGTCCTTCAAGGCGTGGATGATTTCGTCGGTTTGGAAGGTGGCCAACAAATGCTCATTCAAGATGGTACAACGGATAGTTCCGTGTGGGATACCCAGCTTCTCCTCGGTGTATTTGAACACCTCAGCCCACAACGCGGCCTCCTCAGCGTTCTCGAGCTTAGGCAGATAGAAGTAAGGTGCAGAGCCCTTGGCACGCAGAGCTTCGTGGTTATGGAAGACATAGAGACCGAAATCGAAGAGAGCACCACTGATTGGCTGTTTGTTGATGATGACGTGCTTCTCCGGCAAATGCCAGCCTCTTGGGCGGACGTTCAATACGGCAGTCTTGTCTTCCAAGACGTACTTCTTCTTGGTGGCCGGATGGGTATACGAGATTTCACCTCTAACGGCGTCGTACAAGTTGATCTGACCTTCGAGTTGGTTTCTCCAGGTTGGTGAGTTCGAGTCCTCGAAATCGGCCATGAAAACACGAGCTCCGGAGTTCAATGCGTTGATGACCATCTTGCGGTCAGTTGGGCCAGTGATTTCAACACGACGATCGTTCATGTCAGCGGGGATTGAGGCGCCTTTCCATGAGAGGTCTTCACGGAGAGCCTTGGTGTCAGGGTTGAAGTCGGGGAAATATTCACCGGAGTCGATCTTGGCCTAAAAAGCAAAGGATGAACCCATTAAAATGTTTGTCAGACATGAGCCAAAAAAGCTTCAAACATTGGTAATTTCTTACTTGCAAAATCTTTCTTTGCGCCAACAACTTTCTTCTCTTGGGCTCAAAAGTGGTGTGGAGATCTTTCAAGAATCTTGTAGCATCGGGCGTTAGAATCTTCTCGTCTCCAGGTTCGCTGGCCGCAGTGATGGTGACAATTTCGTCCTCATCTGGCGGAGCGGTGGCGGTGTGGAACTGCGCCTCCTCAGTCGATCCCTTGAGAGCGGCAGTCGAGGAGATTCCGCCAGAAGCAGCAGTGCCAACGTAATCAAAGTAGCCTGTTCCGACTTCGCGTTGATGTTTAACAGCGGTGTAGCCGTAACTGAAACAAAGTTCGATTAGAAATTTCCAGAGTCAAAGTTCTTTCGAAAATTCGTGATTTAAACTTACGCCTCAGCAGCGAATTCCTTTTCTTGCAGCTCGGAATAGGCGGCCATTCCTCGTTCCTTGTAGTTCTTGGCCAAGTCAAATATCGAGAAGTTGTTGGTGTGGAATCCAGCCAGCGTAATGAACTGATACTTGAAGCCCATAGCACCCAATTCTCGTTGGAACTTCTCCATGTCCGACTGACGTAAGTGTTTGCGCCAGTTGAAGGACGGCGAGCAGTTGTAGGCAAAGAGTTGGTCTGGATACTCTTTTCGGACGCCTTCAGCAAACTCCTTGGCATCCGCCAGGGTTGGGTGTGAGGTCTCCATCCAAATGAGATCACAATATGGAGCATAGGCCTTGGCACGCTCGATGCAAGCCTGGAGGGCAGTTTCCTCCTTGAGCTGGAAGAAACCTTCGGGAGTTCGTTGCTTGGTACGGTCAATGTGGAAGTGATCGCGTTCGTCGATGTCACTTGTCAAAAGACGAGAGGATTCAGCGTCTGTACGAGCGACAATGATCGTTGGAACTCCGCAGACATCAGCAGCAAGACGCGCGGCGTTCAAATGCTTGATGTGCTGAGAGGTTGGAATCAACACCTTTCCTCCCATGTGACCGCACTTCTTCTCGGAACCGAGCTGATCCTCGAAGTGAACTCCAGCGACTCCGGCTTCAATATATGCCTAAAAATTTAGAATTATTAAATAATTTTGTGAAATATGAGAGGGAATCTCCCTGTAACAGTCTTAAACTGTGCCTACCTTCATCAGCTCGAAACAGTTCAGCGCACCACCGAATCCGGCTTCAGCATCAGCCACGATTGGAGCGTACCAGTCTCTCTGGGCCTGGTAATCCTCAGATTCGACGCATTCAATCTGATCGGCTCTTCGCAACGCCTTATTGATCCTCTTGGCCAATTCTGGGCCAGAGTTGGCGGGGTACAGCGACTGATCAGGATACATGTCTCCGACGGAGTTGGCGTCGGCAGCAACTTGCCATCCCGACAAGTAGATGGCCTTCAGACCGGCACGGACCATTTGAACAGCCTGGTTGCCGGTGAGGGCGCCAAGAGCCGGGACGTACGGTTCGGTGTGGATGAGTTGCCATAGCTTGTTGGCAGAGCGAGTAGCTAACGTGTATTCGATGGGAAACGAGCCTTGAAGCTTAAGGACATCTTCAACTTCGTAGTTACGCTTGATGCCCTTGTAGCGGCCTTTGGGTGCGGATTTGACGACCTAAAAATGCTATTAAAGTTAATCTTTTTGTGTGTCCTATTCAATCTTACAAGTGCAGGTTCACCTTATTTTATATCAATTCCCAACCTGGCTAGCGAATTCCCTCCAAATCGACTAAAACCAAGCTAAATGGAAGTAATTTTTCAATGAAAACAGCCGCTCGCTGGTCACTCTTTTGGCCAATAAAAGTGAAATCAAGAAAACGAGGAGTTCGCCAAACTCCAAGACAAATCTCCTTTAGTCGGCCAAGACTCTAAAGGCAACAGATGTCCTGAGGCAATCGCCTCATCGATCAGCGGACTTATTTAGAGAACAACCTTTATCTTATCAACTTCGTACGAAAAACGTGCATTACGGACTTTTTATCGGCCTCCCGCGAAAATACAGGTATATGCTTGCTAAACAATACGGCTTTTGGAAGCTGTCAACAACTGATAAAGATGGTATATCAACAAAAAAAGATCGAAAGAGAGAAGGACTTTTTTGGTCTTGACTTGCAAAAAATTGTTTTGACGATCTGAAGCGGCCAAAAGTAAAAAACGATTACCTGATAAAAGTTCTTTGACACCTGAGCCATCTTGTTCCGGTACGCGTTTTCGTATATGCAATGTGGGTTTTGGGACTATGGAAGGGAATAATTTAGTAATCCAGGGTGAGCTGAGGATTGGAGAGGGTGTGGTTTGATTCTTCTGAAAAAAGTTGTAAAATACGTTTTAGATGACAGCCAGTTGTCTAAAAATCCAGCACGAATCATTATAATCGCAAGGAAATAGATTGAACTTAAATTCAACAAGATCTTTACTGAAGAGAGGGAAACTAAAAATAAATCAAAAAATTGTTTGAAAGGTAACGAATGGTTGATTTAATGGCTAAAACAAATAGCCGAAATATCACTAGCGATATCAAGCTCATAATACACTTGCAACTTCTTTTAGATTGCAGTATATGTATACCAACCCACAAATACGTCTACAATCGGTGAAAACCCCTCACTTTACCAACCCGTTACCTGCTTGCACGATCCAGCAAGAACTATCGCCACAACAAACAAAGTCACTTTACACTCTGCAACCAAGCATTGAAATCATCCACATCGCCCTTATATACCAACCCTTTATCACACCCTCCGCTTATAAGGTCCGTACACACAGCTGATGTGTTGAGAGAGATCACAATGTTGGCGGGTTTCGTTGAAACGGACCTACATCAAACTTTAAATATCGTTAATTCGTATGAGGAGGGAGAGATGCAAAAGGGGCGGAGCCCCGATATTTACAGCGGTCATTCTAGCCTCGATCAGTCTTCGGCTTTTTCCCCCCGTCGATTTTTATCGCCCAGCCCCTCGGTGTTGTTTTGGTTTCATAGCACAAAGTCCATTGGGAGGAAGGAAGCAGAGAACGCGAGAAAATTGGAGGCAATTCGAGAAAAAAAGACAAACCGGGAAGAAGAACATGAAACGATTTTTTAATATCAAATTCATAATTATTATATTGAAAGGCATGTGGTATTTTGACGGTAAATTATTCAATTTATCAAAAATTGCATGAGGCTTTGACAAAAAAGATTTTTTTTTCATTTAGCGTCGGAAAATTGAAGAAATTTTTTGCGTTAATTAGGCAAAAAACAATTTTGAATATAAAACCCTTGCGACTACACAAAAATACCACAGACCAACGGTACAAAAAGCCGGCAGGATTCCACTTTGACCTCTCCAATGTCATCATTTTCCATAAATACCCGAAAAATGACCTAAAGCTGTTATTTTCCGTGACATCGCAAGAAATATCAGCCAAGATCAAGAGAACCCCAGGAAAATAGCAAAACGTCCAAGGAATTTGAGACTACGCGCTTTAGAGAGACGTTCAGACATCAAAGAACCGTTCGCGAACCGCCCCACGAGTTTCCTGAAGTCAAAGTCCATCGGCGGCACGTGGGGCTGCGATAGCGATCGTAAAGAGGCGGGGATTTCGTAAACAACAGAGGGAGTTCTTTGATCGCACGAGGTCCCTTCAGCCGCCTGTACTTTGTTCTCTCGTTGCATGAATCGGTTTTGTGAATATGTTCTTTAATCATGATGGCGGTTCGATCTGTTTACGGGAGGAAACGTTGCGTTGTTTGTTCAGGTCTGTGGGGCACGTTTTTGGGCATTTGTAGGTGGAGTTTGATGTGTTTCTGACAGTTTCATCAATTCGTATAGTCTCTAAAACCCCTTCTGCTCTGTGAGGTTCTCTTGAGGCCTTTGAAGGCCGCTCTTCTCTTTATAAAGCATAAAGTTTTTAGCACAGCCAAACAGTCCTTTTCTCCACGGCAAGAACAGCCTTCATAAGTATCTTTCCCCTTCTAAATCTCCAGTAGTACCTCAGCTTCGCCTATTCTCTTTGTGATCTCTGATTTAGACCTTTTCTTATCCCTTCCACGTTGTTCTCCTATTTTTGATTTTTTCTTCTCTCCCAAAAGTTGTCTTGCAAACAAGTAAACAAGGCCACTATAAAATCATCATGTCTCTGATGCCTTCCTGTGATTGTAAACGGCTTGGACCAATTGTAACCGATGATAAATCGAGGGATGATGCAACTAAGTACAATTTGCGTAGCATGAAGCGGTTTGTGATGCAACATAGAGGTCCGAAATAGTAGAGAAAAAGAGAGTGGAACACTGAAAGAAAGAAAAGAAAATCTTCGCTGAGTTCTCCACAGAAGTGTTCCTCCAAAAAATGGGCATTTTGTCTATCTCGAGTCTTAAAAATATCATTCAACAGTTCTCTGATCAGCAAAAAATAAATAACCAATAGCAACTTCCAGCACCATCACATACTAAATATGATTCTAAAGTACAAGGCTGGAACACCCCAAAAGCCTGGCGTTCAATCTCGTGGGCGCAATGAACGACCAAAGAAGAACAGTCCCGAGAAAACAAAGAGCAACGCCATGTGATCGACGAAAATAGAGAAGACCGATTATTTATCGTTTCGCTGATCAAAGTTTTGACCCACACGGCTGATAAATGCTTCGTTCTGTTCGGCGTACTCTGCGCAGTCGAAGCGGGGGGAACCGATTTTTTTGGTAGTGAAGGTTTAAGGAAAAGTTTTTTTTCAAGCGGAGAAAATTTATATTTAGATGTTACACAAAAAAATGAAGCGCAAAGCGATAGTTTTTTGGCTGGAGTAGAGCTGTGAAGGCGAGAATAGGGAAATAACGTCGATTAATTGCAATAACAAGGGGTATTCCTTCTCGAAAAAATAGAAACAACCAGTTTCTGTGTTAAAGAGGTGGCCCGAGTTGCGGTTCTTAGTTCTTCCTTAAGGTCTGTCTAGGCAACATGTCGAGGTCACATATTATCGATTTTGAGTAAATCTTGACAGAAAATAGATAATAGGGAGGTTATTAAGTCCACGGGAGGTTAATGGAGAAGAATATAAGACTTTTTGGATCAGTTTCTAAAACAAAATCCTCTTGTGATAAGTGATTTTCTAGCAAAAAATGTAAAATTGATTTTTTGCTTGTTTCCGCATAAGCCTAGGTCACTTCCACAAATATGTAAAAATTCCACACGTGCCGAAGAAAATCTCGATCGACCATTATTTGACTATTTTCATCAGGCCTGAGTATTACTCTATGACTCCGAAAACCCCCCTTCCTCAGTTTCTCCTTACGGTTTTTACCCTCCACTTGTTTACTTGCAAAGTTCAGCACTCGTTTCAATCCGTCTCCGCAGGTCGTAAAACGTGAGTTTTCCTATGCCCTGATCCGCAATTCGTTCTTTGGTTGGAATTGAATGGACTTGGTCCTGTTCTCTGAGTCTTATTTTCCATATTGGTGGTTGCAGCGGATGGAACCAACGTTTTTTTTTCTCGAGGGGCTCTCTCGCCTTCAGCGTACTTTAGAGCCTCGATGGTCGGGAAATGTGATTGCAATCACATTTTGGAGGGAAGATGGAATTTAGAGCACATTTTTGGTAGGAAAATTCGGAAATCGAAATTTTTCGGTTGCCGATTGCAAGAAGTTTTGTTAAAAAAAATACTGCCGCAAATTTTAAAGGAGAGTCTGCAAAGCTGTTGTGGTTATCCCGGTAGCCACAATAAACAAAGAATTGGCCAGTTTTTCCAACAGTGAATTAGGGAAAACCCAAACAATCAAGACAGTTAAGTTAAAGAGAAGGTTTTCCTGTAAATGTCAACAGAAATACGAAGGAATTCAGCAGTGTCAGCGTCACCCCAACAATAAGATTCTATTAAAAAATAGTAATAGATACTGAATCTTTGAGAGATTTAGCTCGAGCGTTTCGAGGCAGCCGAGATATTCAACAACCTTCGCCGACGAGGGAGCGTGCGAAACGCGGAGGGCGATGAAGCCGCAAACAACTTTTCGTTCTTATCTTTACCTACCACGTATAAACAAAAAATTATCTTTTAGAAGCGTTGTTGACGATGGTTGTTTTGATTTCCTTGTTACGAGCCAATGAACCCTCAACTTATTAAGGGCATATTTACCATTACGGAACATATATGCTTTACAACAACCATGCAGGGTTCTTCAAACAAGTTGGGAACGTAAAGATGCTGTGAGAGCAAAAACATGGAATGTGAGATGTTTTCTTCCCAACACAACCTGTGGCTTTTATAATAACAAAACTATAACTGTGGAAATGCTATCAGTGTAACTCTTGAATTTTATGGACATTTGCGGAGAACTTTGTTTAAACAAAGTTGCATTATGACAGATTCAAACTCCTTGATCTTTACCCTTTTCCAACGTGTGCAATCATAAAGTTCCACTTTATACATCGCCGACGAAACGCCGTTGACATTTCAAATCAAAGTAACCGTCGCTGAAGAAGTTCCGCCGATAACCAGTGTTTACTTTCTAAAGGGTGCAAAGTCCGTTAAAACTAATAAACAGTCATAAAAAGAGACGTCGCGATAGCAACGTGGTTCCAATTAAATTGTAAACAATGCTATTGGTTTCAAGCTTTTAGAAAAAATGTCTTTTTTGGATCAGGCAAAAACAGATGACAAGTTTTTTTTGATTTGCTACGCAGATGTCTCTGATCCAACCTCGGGAGAAATGGAAACATGAGAATGTGGAAAAAAGCCTCCTAGAATGAAGATGTTCTACAAATTGCAAAGCTAGTGCTGAACGGCGCTGTTGATTAGAGTTAAAATGCCTATAATAAAGCAATTTCAACATTTTAATCTAGAATTTGCCAAAATTGAACCCCTTTTATGATATTATAAAATCTTTTTTCTTATTGTCAAAAAATGTATACAGGGTGTTTCAAGAAATTTGGCAGAAACTAGTTGCGAATATTTTTGAGCTCTTGCTAGTTATCGCAGAAATTCTTTTTGTTTCTGAAACTTGACAGCGGGCGGTTTTGTACTGAACAAAAAAAAATTTTTTTCGTCGGCGGAGAGGCCAGTTCTCGGCGGAGGCATTTGGGGCCTTTTTTAAAAATCACACCTTATTACATCGTGGAAACTCTGTTACAGTGGCCAAAATCATGTTTACGTTAAACCTCCGTGGATTTTGCGGTATGCTTTTTTTGCGTTTTCGATTTTACGCAACATCCGCGGAGGCGCGACGGAGACCGCAGATTTCGGCGGACTTTGTTTTGGGCCCTCGGTTTTTGCAAATCCATGTTGGAAAAAAGGTTGGGGCGATTTTTTGTTGTCATCCGATGCACAGAGGGCAAAAATTTTGTACTTTTTTCCCCGGCGGAGGATTCGGCGGAGGCTTTCTCAAAGGGTCAAAACAAAATTTTGACTCTTTTGATAAAGCCTCCGCCGAAACCTCCGCCGATGTGTCCGCCGGACCAAAAAATAAGAAAAATGATGTTGCTGTGATGGATTCTTGTAGCTGAGTTTTTTCCCGGACTCCTAAGACTGTTCTGACCCTTTGGTAAAGCCTCCGCCGAATCCTCCGCCGGGGAAAAAAGTGCGAAATTTTTGCATCTGTGCATCGGGTGACAACAAAAAATCACCCCACCCTTTTTTCCAACTTGAATTGAATGATCCAAAGGCTCAAAACGACGTCCGCCGAAACCTGAGGTCTCCGCCGTGCCTCCGCGGATGAGCGAAAATCGAAAACAAAAAAAGCATACCGCAAAATCCACGGAGGTTTAACGTAAACATGATTTTGGCCACTGTAACAGAGTTTCCACGATGTAATAAGGTGTGATTTTTAAAAAAGGCCCCAAATGCCTCCGCCGAGAACTGGCCTCTCCGCCGACGAAAAAAATTTTTTTTTGTTCAGTACAAAACCGCCCGCTGTCAAGTTTTAGAAACAAAAAGAATTTCTGCGATAACTAGCAAGAGCTCAAAAATATTCGCAACTAGTTTCTGCCAAATTTCTTGAAACACCCTGTAGACCTCTGACAAGAAAACCCAACTACAAAATGATTGTGTGCAATTTCGACGGCAGCAACTTTCTAAAAAATATCGTCTTGTGCTCTCGTTGGGTTCAAAGATCACTGCTCTGGACGCTTCTGCTCAAAGATCGCCTCCGAACGACACATTTCCTCTTGCCGATTGAGATTGCATTTGGATATAAAGAACACAGAGATAAAATTATCTCAGCAGCAAGTGGAGCGCTGTCTCAAAAATCGTTTCGAGAAAACTTTAAACCTGATACATAAAACAGCACAATATTAAATCAATATTAAATTAAGGGTTTGGAATTCGAAAACGGTACAATTCACCTAAAAAAACAGGGTTACTTTATTTTTTAAAACGCGTTTTGCCGCACTTTGGAGCTTAGCCTAACAGAGGGCGGACATTGTTAAAATCAGCATCTCAGAATTGAACGAAAATTGGTCAACTTAATCACTGATAGGCACAAAACATTTGCTTTCTTTGTTTTTGCCCAAAATTACCGTATGACGGCATACTGTAACATCATTTTTAAAAAAAGATATGCCCTAATCGAGAAAACGAAGCGCTATTTCAGCGCAAATTGAGTTCAGGTATATGTTTTCGACCATGTAGAACATTTTTGTAATTGTCACCGAAAACTAAAAATTACATCTAAGCTATGTTACACTTGAGACAACATACCATTTCGGGTATAAAAAATGCAGTTCGGACGAGGCGCAGATTTTGAAACCGGAATACTAAACTTCAAGCCTCGTCTAACAAACCATAAAAATTTCAGAAAGATCAAATATATAGTTTTTGAGATATCGGACATTCAATGTCTCATGTGCAAGATCACCTTGACCCGGAAAAAATCTGGCATTCTTAGGTTTTTGGCTAGGCGCAGATTTTGAAAGTTTCCAATACATTCTTATGAGATTTTAGGAGGATATAGAAAGTTTCAGAGGAAAAAAATGAATAGTTTTTGAGAAATCGACCAAAATACCTTGTTTTAGGTCATCAGATGCCCGAAAAAATCTGGCATTCTTAGGTTTTTGGCTAGGCGCAGATTTTGAAAGTTTCCAATACATTTTTATGACATTTTAGGAAGATATAGAAAGTTTCAGAGGAAAAAAATGAATAGTTTTTGAGAAATCGTCCAAAATACCTTGTTTTAGGTCATCAGATGCCCGAAAAAATCTGGCATTCTTAGGTTTTTGGCTAGGCGCAGATTTTGAAAGTTTCCAGTACTTTTTTATGAGATTTTAGGAGGAAATAGAAAGTTTCAGAGGAAAAAAGTGAATAGTTTTTGAGATATCGACCATGGTGAACCTGTTATAGGTCAAGTTGCTGGAAAATTCGACCAATTTTCTTCGGCATCTCTTTTTTCCGAGATATATGTGTGTGTTACAGTTTTTTTTTCCAAATTGTCACAAATAAATTCGAGCTCTCTGCAAAACTTTTGTCAAATGTACGCCGATGGCTACGATTCTGTGTTCTGATGACCTAAAACAAGGTATTTTGGACGATTTCTCAAAAACTATTCATTTTTTTCCTCTGAAACTTTCTATATCCTCCTAAAATCTCATAAGAATGTATTGGAAACTTTCAAAATCTGCGCCTAGCCAAAAACCTAAGAATGCCAGATTTTTTCCGGGTCAAGGTGATCTTGCACATGAGACATTGAATGTCCGATATCTCAAAAACTATATATTTGATCTTTCTGAAATTTTTATAGTTTGTTGGACGAGGCTTGAAGTTTAGTATTCCGGTTTCAAAATCTGCGCCTCGTCCGAACTGCATTTTTTATACCCGAAATGGTATGTTGTCTCAAGTGTAACATAGCTTAGATGTAATTTTTAGTTTTCGGTGACAATTACAAAAATGTTCTACATGGTCGAAAACATATACCTGAACTCAATTTGCGCTGAAATAGCGCTTCGTTTTCTCGATTAGGGCATATCTTTTTTTAAAAATGATGTTACAGTATGCCGTCATACGGTAATTTTGGGCAAAAACAAAGAAAGCGAATGTTTTGTGCCTATCAGTGATTAAGTTGACCAATTTTCGTTCAATTCTGAGACACTGATTTTAACAATGTCCGGGCCAAACTACGATTTGTAATAAAACGCGTTTTAATGCCTCCATGTTCAGTTTCTCGTTTGGTTTGTTTTATCACGATTTAAGGCGATTATAGTTTTACGTCAAACGTACTACAAGCACAATGGAACAAAGTTTTGTGCAAATAATCTCGGTATCATAATTCTTGACATTCGGTGAACTTGTCCTTTGCCTGTTTTTGTAATCACTTTATTGTTCCCTTTATCGGAAGACGATTCACTTATTAAAAATTGGCGTAACAACAATAAAAAAAGGAGCAACCGACGAATACATTACTAATTAAGATCATTAGCCCTACAAACGACCACTTGGACGGCTCAGCGTGAGCTATACCGACGATGTTCGAAAGCACCATGGCCTGCGATCGAGGGACCCGTACTGGCCAGACAATGGAATCCCGACTAATACACTCCATGATTTTGCATGTGATTAGTGTGAAAAATTGATTATTTATGAAATTGAAAATTTAAGCTGCAGTTTTCCTCCCACTTCAAACGTTTTTATGGCCCTCCGAAACTAGAATCTCGATAAGGCTATTTACTGCAGAAACAAGCTATAAAATAGCGATAGTATCGGTTGACAAATAGCGATAAATATGATTCCATTAAAGGGTCAAAGATCACTTTAATAACTTCAAAACTAATAGAAACGATTAAACCCAAACTCTGCAGAAAGTCTCTGGAACATACGCTGATCCGGTTGGGCAATTATAGGCGGCCTGGAATGCTCGGAAATTTCGAAGCGTTCCAAGTATGCGGTAGCCCATTGGAGAGTGCGAGCCAGCGTGGTTACCTCTGACTGGATCATTGGAACACCAAATGCGAGAGAAAGCGGAAAAGAAGAGTTCGTCATGTGTATATCCATCAAGCGGAGAGTCAGGAAGCTGCGGATTCGATCCTCTTAAAGCTTGCTCGGATTTGAACGCGATATAAGCGGAGCGAATACCTGAAAACACGATTTGTGGTGGACACTTGTTTCGCAACATGCATATGTCAAATTGCTGCAACTCGCTAAGCGGGCATATCCAGCTTTTTTTTCAACAGGCTAAGCAACTCAATGCAAATTCTGGCTGGGCGAGACTATCCCAATCTCTGATAGCACTCCCTTGCCAAAGCTGAGGCCTTTTGAAACCTAATACAAAACAGAATTAGTTCTTGTACTTCGCCATTTTCGCTTATGACTAAAACTATATTCAAGACCCTCCTCACCTCCATTGTCCGCAACATCCTCCCTTTGAGTGTACAATCCTCTTCCATGGAGCTTGTCATACTCCGCAATTACGCAATCCAACATACTCGCAAATTTTTCATACGATTCCCTGTCTATCCACGCCCGCCGATGCCCGTTTTCATCGTACAAAACTCCAATTACATCAAATCCATGCGTCATCTCATGCCCAATGACATATCCAATGCTTCCGTACTGCACAGACGCAGGAAAGTTTACGTCGAAAAGAGGGCGGCGTAAAATCCCGAGCGGAATGTAAAAATGATTCTGATCGTTGTAATAGTACGCATTGACAACGCGAATGGATGTCGGGAAGAAACGCTCTTTGACGAGCAGGCGATTCCACTCTCTTCGTTGCGAAAAATCGGTGAGTTTTTGAGCTGCGGTGAATTCATCGTCGGAAGCTGAAATTTGAAAGGCCATCTGACCACAAATACAAGAGAATCTCACGATCAAGATCCAGGTCCGCGTAAACGCTGTTCAGAATATCATCGTCTTCAATGTAGGGGTGATAGACAAGATTATATCCCATTCCGTCAACCTTTCTGTAGGCTCCGGCCCGCGTTTTGTTGCTGAACCAAGGAAGTTCGTTGAGTTGGGACTGAAAGTGTAAATGGGATTCCTCAAATCATTAGATTTCGTCTCATTTGGCCAAATTTACAATCAGCATGTCTGGAAAATAATGTGGATTTGTCGCATTGAAAATTTCACCGCGGACGAGAAAAGAAATTCTACCACGGAAATTCAACTTCACTCCAGTAACACGGCCGGCGCCACAACAATCCACAATATCTTCCCGACAGATGTGATGCCTCTTACCCTAAACGCAGCCAACACCCTCTTAGTGATCACACCAACTCTGTTTACAAACGCTTTCCTGTCCGGCTTGTTGGGCAGAACTCCATCCAGAAAAAATCGGTCAAACGCATCGAAATTGGCATATTCGATCGACTTCATGCATCTCATTTCTAATTCATGTGGGGTTTCGCCCGGAAATTCGTCAATTTCAGGCTCAACTGGGAAAATACCGCCACTTTCAACACATTTCCCCTCTCTAAGCCAATGATCAGCAATGGACTCCTTCGGCTTGCGCATGAAATATTTCCGAAGACTTCTGGCCAAGCGGATATTCAGGTAATTGAATATTGTGTTTGGGTCCGAAGCGGCAAGGAATTCGTCTAAAAGTTTCAAGCTTGTTGGCTTTTCCGCAAGAATCTTGATACTGTTCTCTGCAACAAAATTTGTTTTAGCGTTTTTCGTGATCCTCGCCATGAATAAGTCGATATCAATGGACGAAGTTGCGGTATTAAGTTTAGTTATCTCCACAGAACCATCATCCCAATCAGAGGTTTTTGTCAGTAACTTTGCCAGCTTATATTCAAATTCGACCACTTCACTTATTGTCTCATCAAATTTCTTTTCGTCAACATCTTTTCCAAGAGCCTCCAAAAGCTGAACCAAGTAATCTTTTATCGATTCCTTGTAATCATCCTCAAATTTGTCAAAGTAGCGAGCATAGTAGCAAAGAGGAAACGATAATTGTGTCTCACTAATAAGCACTTGATTGTTGTGAATTCTATAGCCTAAAAAATTGCGAAGCCGAAACTTTTGAGCGAGATATCCGACTATTTCTCCGAGTTTAGACGAGTTCAGCTTTGAGATTGTTGAGTCGTCCAATAACGGAAATGGAAGGCGAACATCCTGCTCAATGCTCGCATAAATCCGGCGCAACGCTTCGCCATTCTCATGAATCGAGGAGGACCTGAGTCCGCGTGCAACACAGCCGTCAAATGCACCCTTCGCTCTTCTATACCAGGATTGGTCCTGAAAGAAGGGTGAAGTGAAACAATTTCCATGCGCTTAGGCAGTGACACTTCCATATATCTGACTAAAATGAGGAATTGGACATACCCTGTAGGTTTTTAGTTCTTTGAGCACAATCAGCTTTCCTTCTTCATTCATTCCAGTCATATAATCGCGAACTTCAGCATTTTTACAAGTATAATTGTAAAAGTCATTACATGGCGACAATTTCAAATCCCCACTCTTCTTTAAAGCCTCAGCAAAGAATCTGTAGGCCTCGAAAATCTTGGGATCATTATTTGAGATAGGAATGGGATCCGGAATATTCAAATCATTGGCTGAAACCCGACATGCCACAATTTTAAAACTTCCGACTCTGAGGCTTACCATATCCCAATCTCGACACAAAAACAACGCCAAAAAGGTGACACGCAAAGACCAAGAGCTGCCTATGATTCATATTTGTCATTACCTCAACTCTCATGCCAATATTTTATGTGACCAATAAACCGTTTTGAGAACTAGGCGAACTAGGCTACTCCGAAGAAACGAGTGTCAAACGGAGAGGTTTGGCGACTTTATAATCGCAGGTGTGATGATATGCTGAACACGGGAAAATTATCTTTTCCATATCGTCATCATTTAAACTCAATAATACACTGACAGAATAGTTTTAATTCCATCAGCACAAACTCGACAAAGTTCCTTTGGAAAATACACAGATTCGAACGGGCAATTGAAGTCAGACTGGGCGAAGACCCCGTACCAGACATGTAGCCATGTCTGGCCCGAGCTAATCCGCCGTTATCTGACGTACCTTCATTTTGAGTTGTGTGGACTCTAAAAAAGTCTCTTCAGTCATCAAAAAAATTTTGTATTGTCCTTTGAAAAAACCTGTTTATTTACATTTTCAGATGCAAAAAATATACTATTTAGTACTTGACTTCAGAAGCCCACACGTCACAGTGCTCTGTGGGAGCATAGACGGATCCTACTGGGCAGTTGAAGGCGGCCTGGAATGCGGGAGTGTTTTGAATGGTTCCCAAAACACGGGCGAGAAGAGGGGAGTGAGGATCGAAGGGATAATCTCTCTTGGGGGTGTTGGAGCACCAGGTCCGGGCGAATCCAAGGAAGAAGAGTTGATCTTGAGTAAATTGGTTCAAAGGGGAACCTGGGAGTTGTGGATCAGGACCATAGAGACCCTGTTCGGCCTTGTACGCATTGAAAGCGGAACGGATGCCTCCGTTATCGGCAATATCCTCAGTCTGGGTCTTCACTCCTCTGCCGTGCAGCTTGTTGTATTCACTAATGACACATTGGGCCATCTCGTTGAACTTAGCCTTAGATGGAGCGTCCATCCATGGGTTTGAGTCTCCTTGGTCATCGTAGTTGACGCCATTGGAGTCGAAACCGTGAGTCAATTCGTGACCGACGACGTAACCGATACTTCCGTATTGAACGGCAGCTGGGTAGTGCAGGTCGAAGATAGGGCGTTGAAGAATACCGAGAGGAATGTAAAAGTGGTTGTAGCCAGGGTAGTACCAGGCATTGACAGTGGTGATAGAGTAGGTGAAGTTCAAGTTACGGTTCTTGTCCATAACAGTGGCCCACTCCTCGGCTTGGGCAAAGTCGTTCATCTTTTGGATGGCGGTGAAATCATCATCACTATCTAAAGGCATAAGAATGAAAAAACGCTTTCAGGAATTGTATTATCACACGTTATTTACTTACCATCTCCAACAAGCGGGGCGTATTTTTTGTTGAGGAGGGCATCGTCTTCAATCCAGTCATCATAGACCACATGATACAGCATGGCATCAATCTTCTTGTAGGCGGCGGCCTTAACCTGTGGACTGAACCAAGAAAGCTGGTCAAGTTGGAAACGGAACCCGTTGATGATCTTGTTGGTGATCACCTTAATTCTCTGGACAAAGTCTTGTCTTTCCTGTTTGTCGGGCAAGCTAGCATCCAAATAGATACGGTCAACGGCATCTCTATAGGAGTATGAAACAATCCGCAGACACGTCTCTTCACTTTGAGCAAAAAGGCTTGGATAGGGATCACGCTGAGGGACCGGTGGAAGAACTCCGACGGACTTAATTCCAAGGCCTTGTCTGAGCCATTGATCAGCAACGCACTCCTTGGGCTTTCTCATGAAGTATTTTCTCAAGCTTCTGGCCAAACGGATGTTAAGGTAGTTGAGGATAGTACCGGGGTCGGCTTGGGAAAGGTAGGTTTGTACCAACTGAACCTTGGTCGGAGCGGTCAGGAGGATCCTGATATTACCGGCCATCAAGGCACCAGCACTTCCGGCGTTCTTAGAGATTCTCGCCAAGAAGGCGTTGACATCAATGGCTCTGTTGTTTTCAGCCAACTCAGAAGCCTGAACGGCTGCTGGGATTTCGTCCGACACCTGGCTAAGGAGGAGAGCCAAGTCTCTCTCAAACTTCACAACATCATCGATGACTTGGTTGAGCTTAGCCTCGCTGATTTCTTTGTTCAAAGCCTCAGCTAACTGGGTGAGGTAGTCCTTAATAGAAGCCTTATACTCCGTTTCAAACTCTTTGAAGGATTCGACGAAGTAGCTCTCAGGGAAGGCCAATTTAGGCTCGTTAAGCGTGAGCTTTCCGGCTTGAATGTCGTAACTGAGGAAGGTGTTCAAACGGAATTTCTGGGCCAATAGTCCAACCAATTCCCCGAGGTTAGAAGGGTCCAAATCAAATGTGGCAGAATTCTCAAACAATGGGAAGGCTGGGCCGATGTCGGCGTTGACTTCCGCGAAGATCTTCTGAAGGGCCTTTCCATCTTGGTGGAGGCCACTGCGCACACGGCCTACACAGTTATCAAATTGCTTCTTCAAAGCGCGGTACCAGGCGGCTCCCTGAAACAAACCACGTTATAAGAACGCCGACTGAAGGATGACCAATTTTTGTATTCAAATACTTACTCCAGTGCCCTTCAACCCTGCAATGATGCGGCGGGTATTGTCGGCGTCCATTCCAACCAAGTAGTTGCTAACTCCAACATGTTGGCAAGTGTAGTTGAAGAAATCGTTACATGGGGACGCTTTCAATTCGGAGGCCTTGGTGATGGAATCGGCAAGGAAGCTGTACGAAGCAAAAGCCTTGGCATCGTCTTTAGAGACTTCGACTGGATCCGGGATGTTCAACTCCGAAGCTTGAATACGTGGATCTAAAGAAAACTTGCTTACTCTCTGCAAAGATAACTTTTTTTGAAGTCATACTTTGAGGCTTAAAGTCCAACTTACCAACTGGCCCGGCCAGTGAGGCCGCCACAAAAAACGCGGTGATGAGGAGAGTACTAAACATTGTCGTAGACTCCTCTATGCCGGAACAATAGAACCTTTCGCCTTTTTATACTTCCTTTTGTAAGAATGCTGCTGATAAGCCGTTTGCATAAGAAGCAAGTAAATTACTTTGCTAACGTCTGATGGAAACTGATAAGCAGAAGTCGTCATTTGTATGAGTACCCTTAATATAGTTTGATTTGACAAACGAAAGTTAATTAAAGGAGAAATTAAATTTTATTGCCCCAGGAAGCTTATCACAAACAATTCGTTTGACTAATCAAAATCGTTCTTGCTCAGACTATCCCTTCAGAAGCAACGCTTGCCGCTGGCGTTGAAACCGCCCTTGAACAGTGTGATGCAATTCATCAGCGTAATTGTTAATCGTACAATATTTGCTCTTCTTTTTTCAGTAACTTTTCGGTGAAAATTGTTCTAGCTGTTCCTGAACCTTTATAATTTGTCGGGCCCTAAAGGAATGCTGTTATCAGTTCATCAATCAAGAGGAAAAAATACAAACATAAGTCTGAATACGATCCTCCCCGTGTTTTGGGGTTCGCAGAAACAGCAGTGTTAAGCCGTCAAACTATTTATTATAGAATCATTACCAAAGAGAGACTTTTTGAGTCTGTGACTTTTAAATCTGCTTTCCACTAAGCATCACGTAGCGACACATTTTTTCGTAATTCACTGCTTAACTTCAGGCGCCAAAATATCCCAATCCTCTTTTGGAGCATACTCGTTCCAACGGCTGAGGTTAACACTGCTCTTAAGATTGGCATGTTGGCAACAGTGTCCAAGATAATCAGGAACATGAAAGCTGTGAATCAGGACCATAAAACGTTTGCTCTTCCGTGCAAGCTTTGAAAGCGATGCGTGAAGGACTTCAAAAAAAAAACCCCCATTCGGGTCTCGCTCGCTCTGCGCATTTTATAGACAACACCAATATTCGCTTTGAGACTCAGAATTTTAATAATTGCAGGGCTGATTTGGGGCCCCTTGGCCCGGTAAGGGGGGTGGAAAAAGTCGGTTTGGCCCCGGGTCCGTTCAAACTCGCTGGGCAATGCCAGACACAGAGCCATGTCTAGTATTATATACAATCTAGACTCTAGGCCGGCCCAGGTCGGTTTCAAATTTTCTCCAAAAAAATTATAAGCAATAAAAACGGCTGCTAATTCAACCCAACTTCATTAAGAAGCCCGCCTTTGACCATCATCTGCAACATTTTTCTATGAAAGAATGTGTTTATTTACATCTTCAAATGCAAAAAATATACTACATATTTAGTATTTTACTTCAGAAGCCCACACGTCACAGTGCTCTTTGGGAGCGTACACAGATCCTACTGGGCAATTGAAGGCGGCCTGGAATGCGGGAGTGTTTTGAATGGTTCCCAAAACACGGGCGAGAAGAGGGGAGTGAGGATCGAAAGGATAATCAAACCCGGGATCATCAGAGCACCAAGTGCGGGCGAATCCCAAGAAAAAGAGTTGATCTTGGCTGAACTGGTTCAGAGGGGATCCTGGGAGTTGTGGGTCAGGACCGTAGAGACCTTGTTCGGCCTTGTATGCGTTGAAAGCAGAGCGAATGCCTCCGTTATCGGCAATATCCTCGGTCTGGGTTGTTATTCCTCGGCCATGGAGCTTGTTGTATTCATTAATGACACACTGGGCCATCTCGTTAAACTTCGCCTTAGATGGTAGGTCCATCCATGGGTTTGGGTCACCTTGGTCATCGTAGTTCACGCCATTGGAGTCAAAACCGTGAGTCAATTCGTGACCGATGACGTAACCGATACATCCGTATTGAACGGCGGCTGGGTAGTGAAGATCAAAGAGGGGGCGTTGAAGGATACCGAGAGGAATGTAAAAGTGGTTGAGGCTAGGGTAGTACCAGGCATTGACAGTGGTGATAGCGTAGGTGAAGTTCCAGTTACGGTTCTTGTCCATAACAGTGGCCCACTTTTCGGCTTGAGCAAAGTCGTTCATCTTTTGGATGGCGGTGAAATCATCATCTGTATCTAAAGAATGCGCCATAAAAAACGATCTCAGACGAATATTGTAGTATGTTGTTTACTTACCATCTCCAACAAGCCGGGCGTACCTTTCGTCTAGGAGGGCATCGTCTTCAATCCAATCATCATAGACAACATGGTACAGCATAGAATCGATCTTCTTGTAGGCGGCGGCCTTAACTTTTTGGCTGAACCAAGAAAGCTGGTCAATTTGGAAACGGAATCCGTTGATGATCTTGTTGGTGATCACCTTAATTCTTTCCACAAAGTCTTTTCTTTCTTGTTTGTCTGGCAAGCTAGCATCCAGATAAACACGGTCAACGGCGTCTCTATGGGAGTCCGATATAACAATCAGACAAACCTCTTCAATCTCGTCATTTGCGGCGTCGGCGCTTAAGTACGGGTCACGCTGGGGTGCCGGTGGAAGAACTCCGACGGACTTAATTCCATGTCCTTGTCTGAGCCATTGATCAGCAACACACTCCTTGGGCTTTCTCATGAAGTATTTTCTCAAGCTTCTGGCCAAACGGATGTTAAGGTAGTTGAGGATAGTCGTGGGGTTGGCTTGGGAAAGGTAGGTTTGTACCAACTGAACCTTGGACGGAGCGGTCAAGAGGATCCTGGTATTACCGGTCATTAAGGCACCAGCGTTTCCGGCGTTCTTCGAGATTCTGGCCAAGAAGGCGTTGACATCAATGGCTCTGTTGTTTTCAGCCAATTCCGAAGCCTGAACGGCGACTGGGATTTCGTCGGAAACCTCGCTAAGGAGGAGAGCCAAGTCGCTCTCAAACTTCACAACATCGTCGATGACTTGGTTGAGCTTAGCCTCGCTGATTTCTTTGTTCAAAGCCTCAGCTAACTGGGTGAGGTAGTCCTTAATGGAAGCCTTATATTCGGATCCGAATTTTTTGAAGGATTTGACAAAGTAGCTCTCAGGGAAGGCTAATTTAGGATCATTAAGCATGAGCTTTCCGGCTTGAATGTCGTAACTGAGGAAGGTGTTCAAGCGGAATTTCTGGGCCAATAGTCCCACAAATTCACCGAGGCGAGAAGCGTCCAAAGCAAAACTGGCGGAATTCTCCATCAATGGGAAGACTGGACCCAACTCGGCGTTGACTTCCTCAAAGATCTTCCGAAGGGCCTTTCCATTTTCGTGGAGGCCTTTTCGCACACGGTTAACGCATTTATCAAATTCCTGTTTCAAAGAGCGATACCAGGCAGCTTCCTAAAACAAGTCACGTAATAAAAAACGCCGACTGTAACAAATGATCCTAAAATTTCACTTACTCCAGTTTTCTTCAACCCAGCAATGATGCGGCGTTTATTATCCTCCTCCATTCCCATCAAGTAGTTGTAGACTCCAACATGTTGACAAGTGTAGTTATAGAAGTCGCTACATGGGGACGCTTTCAGTTCGGAGGCCTTGGTAATGGAATCCGCAAGGAAGCTGTACGAAGCAAAAGCCTTGGCATCGTCTTTAGAGACTTCGACTGGATCCGGGATGTTCAACTCCGAATCTTGAATGTGTGGGTCTAAAGAAACTTTGCTTACTCTCTACAACGACATAACAACCATTTTGTAAAAAAGTCTTGGAGATTGCAAGTCTACCTTACCGACTGGCCCCGCAAACGACGACGCCACAAAAAACGCAGTGACGAGGAGAGTTCTGAACATCGTCGTAGAGCTCCTCTATGTCGGAACAAAAGAACAGTGCGTGTTTTATACCTAAATTTGTTGGAAGCAACCAATTTACTCTATTATTAAAACTGATAAGCATACGCGGTTTTACAAGTAACTTTTGTGCCATGTGTAGTTTGATTTGGTCAAGACGTGCGTTTGTAAACGGACAAATCACAATTTATTGGAACCTTATCATTAGAATAATTGTTTTTGATTTTGACTATCTCCAGCCAGTTACATTAACGGTGGATTTCTTGCGTTGGATGTTCAATATAAAATTATTAATCATATAAGTCAGTTTATGTAGTAATTCTTCAGGACGAATACTTTGAGCTGTTCTTGAACGAAGCCTTTGCAAATTTTCGTTCCCTTCAATGATGCTGACTGATATCAGTTCACTGATCAAAAAGCAAAAACAATTAAAAATGTAGTCGGAGTCTTCCATCACTTTATAAAAATGCTTTTTCAGACGTACAAAACTTACGTCTGTTTAAAACTATAACCATGTCCCTATCAGAAAATTTATTTTCACATAAGTAACACAGAACAAACATGGCAAATGAATTATAAATTTTGGGCTTCAATCCAGCCAAAAGCTGTTCAGTGCAAAGTGCATAATATCTCACTCAAAAAATGCCGAATTCAGTCCTAATGTTTAAAAACGTTTCAGCGGAATAGATGATTACGTAGTAGTAGAGGTAAATTTTGAACAAAAAACACTTTAACTATTTTATCAAGCTCATTTTGCAATCATTATCAACTGTACACATCACTTTATTTTTACTCCCTTTAATAATTTTTTATTCCGTCTCTTTATTCGTTTCTCATTTTTTGATGTATAAACATAACAATAACAGTCAACAACGGCCATTTGGCCAACAATTTATTTGATTCGTTTAAAATTGTCGAGAAGACTACCTGCAGACCCACCAAGTTGATCGAAGTCGGCATCCGAAAAGATCGATTTGCTATCTTGCTTGGATTTTTTCACTCGATCACGTCTCACAATACCTAAAATAATATAATTTTTAGGTAAAATTACTTCTAAAATTCAAGAAACTTATAAAAAGGTTATCGTACAACTTACTCCTCAAATCTTTTCGCTTCTCAATTCTGGCTTTCTTCTCTAGACTTTGGATTCTCTCTTTTTCTGTGATCCGACTCAGAATCCCATCGTTGATCTGCGCTTGTTCAACGAATTCGAGATACCTTCGATTCCGGGCCTCAATGTCCTTCGGCTTGTTCCTTCTGTATTGGTCGACCAAAGAAAAGCCCTGAAATAAAATCGTCAGACAAGTCGGCAAGAATTTATTTCACTAGATAGGACTTCACTAAATAAAAACACGTTATTCGAGTCAAAAAAGTAGATAAATACCAAGAAAATGCTATGAAATAGTTGTCTCCTACTGTAAACTTTCTAATCAAGGCCAAAAACATCAGTTTTATCCATACAACTAACAAAAATATCGAAAATTTTTGGATTTGGTATCAAGTGTAATGTAAACCTTCACAAATCAATTCCAGACTCTTCAAAACAACCCTCAGCGCTCCTAAAATCAGAACCCAAGAAAAAATAAAAGCTCCCACCTGTTTTGCAAGGGCAACACTCATTTTCTCGTCCTTAATCTTCCTAGCGGATATTCTGCCTTTGATGGATTTTTTCTTCAGCTCACCGCTATCCAAATCCAACGTGTAAAGATCACCATTAGCCTTCAGCATCTCCTTTTCTTGCTCGACAACATTATGACGCTTTTGTCGGGAATTCAACTTGAACCTGAGATTGTTTTCTGAAAACAAAAGAGCCATGATTCTCCTAAATCGTACAAGCAGGTCAAAAAGTATAAAAAATCTCACCATCCTCGTCCAGTTTAAGAGTCTTCTGTAGTAATGAACTGGACATTGCTGATGATGCGAGGAAAATGTATTTTTACGTTTTTTACGTAAGGAAAGAATTTTTGCTTGGAACATAATGCCAGAAAATTTTTGCGAATGTTTGTTTTCGTGTTGGGACTTAAACAATTCTCAATGACGACTGTAAAGAAAAAAGCGACAAATTTGCTGTCCAAATATTGATTTTTATTCATTCAAATAGGTAAATTTCACTTATGATTTTCACAAACGATTTTTAGAAATATTGCAATATATTGTAGTATCAGATGAAAAAGCGGGCCAATCTTCGAAGAGTCGAATGAAAAATGTTGTGGAATCGAATTTTTGGAAAGGTATAGAACCTGCAGTTATTTTTTAAGTCAAAAAATGGCGCGTTAAGAATCTACAATGGCTCAACTTACCTTATTTATCTTCTCCTTGACCTCCAGAAGTACAAGACCATTATTGTAGTTGCCGGAGTCGGATCCGCGTAAGAGAACGGCGACATAACGACCAATCGGCGGAAGTGTAGGGCAAAGTGTCTAGTCGAGCTCTTTGTGTTATTGCTTTGGACTTCGGAATGATTGATTTCGGGCGTATGGCCAGACGAACACTGTTTTGATCGCAACTTGAACGCCGAGAAAAGAAAGAATGGGGAAACAGAGTTTCAGGGACAAGAATGACGCAAACCGGGTTTTTGAGGATGTAATAGTGGGGGCGAGGAGCATGGATGATGATAAATTAATGTGGCAAACATAATGCTTTGAAAGAGTTTTTGCGGCAATTAAAGCGGATATAACATCAAAAATAAGTGTTGAATGTAGAGCTCTAATCTTGATCCACTTTGGTAAAACTTGAAATTATGTTTACCGTAAAAAAATGGCTGTAGGAAGTGCCTACGAGGCCTGGAAAAACCGTTGGGTGCTCAGCGGACGCTTGTGAAAGCTCGGCGCAGATTTGGCGAAGACTTGCAACATGTCCACTTTTCCCATTAAATTAATCTGTAACTAACTTTAGTTTTCTTTACCCTGAGTTATTGTGACATATAAAAGATCAAAATTTGCGACAAAAAGCGGACATCCGTAACTTTTGTCTAGATATCACTGATGTGAGAACATCTAAAATGCATCAAAATAGACGACTTCCCCTAGGACCATATATGGCTCGAGACTTCTAAATCTCTTCGCAAGAGTCCATACGAACCCTGCAAATTGAGTCCAAAGTTAAAAGTTGCGCAGTCTGACATAACATTGCGCAATTTCTCTCGTTGTAAGAATTTCTGCCTTTCTCTGTCGTCTCCTCCTTTTTGTCAACTTTTAACTTTGGACTAAATTTGCAGGGTTCGGATGAACTCTTGCGGAGAGATTTAGAAGTCCCGAGCCATATATCAATCTTATTATTTTTATTGAATAAGTTTTCACATAGCCTCCCCTGTCCATATAAGGACGAACCGCGGCGATCCATAGTATAGTTTACCCCAGCTGTCGCTGACCCGTAAAATCGTTGCGCCTATACGAGCTATGTAGAGCTAACTAGTAAGCTCTCGCTCTCTACAAGATCGTTGAATATCTTGTCTTCTCTATCGGTCACAAGCTAAAATCATCAAAAAATGAGTTGTTCAGGACATTCATGAACGTAATGAGACAGCACAAAGATTTTCAGTGTTATTCATTTCTGATAATATTCTTTTTCCAAAATTGTTGATTATTCCACTTTCTGACACTAGTTTGTCTAACCTCTGCTTAATCGAAACCCTTCATACTCCTCCGTATTTACAGGTCAAACAGCAGGATTTTTTTGACAAATGTCAATTACTCGTTTGATCCGCGAAAAAAGACCTTCGATTATTTCAGCTGTCTGATGCAAGTGCTTGTCTCCGCGAGATCCGCATTTGTCTGCTTCCTTTGGCCGTAAAACGTGAGCATTTCACGTTTTCTGCTGGTTTGCATTGGTCACTTGCTTCGAAACTATTTCTCTAGCCAACGGGCTTTTCATAATGCCGTTTGTAGTGGTTTTCTGGTTTATAGGCGTGCGAAAGATACCTTGCAAGCAATGGTCATAGTTTATGAAAAACAATGACCATTTCTCTTGTTCAAATAAAGTTTATGCCTCATAAATTATTAAATATTAACTTCAAAATAAATAATTTTCTTTCTATGTCATCTGTCTCATTCCAATTGCCCCCGCCATTGAATCAAAGCCACTTGGGTAATTTCGATGGACATATCTCCTGCCGAACTCTCCACTATCCATCTGACAGTTATTTCCGTTGTTGCAGTTACTATTTACATTGTAAGTGTAGGTCATCTTGCTGCTTCCGCCATTATTTTTCCCGAACAACGCGTTCATGGGGATATTGAACGTGATTGGCTTGGAAAAAAGCTTTGGGATATAATCAAACCCCTTTCCCATTCCATTATCTGCATTCAAATTCATCGGCGAGGACATTGGCATGCTCATGCTTCCACAGCAAGGAACAGTTGCCTTGTTATCGCTCATTTTTGGAGTGACAATGACTTTATATTTTTTGCCGTTGATGTCGAAAGTTTGACCGTTATTCACCACTAAATTGTTGCCGTTTCGAGGGCTTATTTGGGGATTTGCATTGGTCATGAAATTGTTGAATTGCGTTTTCTGTCTAGCTTGAGCCACTGGGCCATAATTTTGGGTTCTGGCCATCTGAGCAGCCGGGGTCCTTGGACCGCCGTAGAACATAAAAGGAGATTCTTGATTCCATTGCTCGTTCATTCCGGGGTATCCGTCGGCAGAAGCAGTGGAAATGGGATGGTGATAAGCCGTGAAATAGTTCGGCTCTTCTCTAAAACGAATTTTATAGAGAAACGGAAGTCTATACGTCGTTTCAGGTAATACTTTTGACTAAAAGTCAATCCATGACAGCTTTTGGATCCTTATGCATTTCCACTGCAACGTTTTGTATCCTAGTACATTATTTTCCCAATATTTTACTTCTATACATTACTATTACAATATTAGCGGTAATAATTTAGCTTCCTAATCGCATTGTGGAATAGGTTTTGCGTTGGGAGAGGGCCAGAGTTCCTGTTCCCATTCCGGCGAGCAAGGCGCAGCTCGGATGGGTTGACTGGACGGGAGTGGGATTTGGGCGCGGCGCAGGAGACTTCTAAAAGTAAATCATTACAATTTGAGCAGCGCGCGGAGCGGGGACCTACTTGCAGAGGAGCTGAAGTGCCTTACAAGCAAATTGGCAGTAGCAGTAAGTGAGAAAGTAGCCGTAAGTAATAGGATTCACAATATACTGGTTAAGCAGTGAGTTAAAAGCGGAAGGTTACTTTTCCGTTCTTCGGCAGGTCTACTGTGTAGACCATACAATTTACTTGAACGCATCGGGGTCGACGTGACATTATCACCGTTTTTACTGTGCTGTCCCAGTATTTTACTGGGTAATTGATGTTTTTCGGAGTGTAAGCCGCCCGTTTGATCATCGGAATATGCGCATTCCTCTCTGCCCTGACATTTGGGCTCACCATGCTTTGGTAGCCGGTCTTCCGATAATTTGGAACCGGTAAGTAAGTTCGCATTACTCTTTGGGGGATAAAGTTGGCCCTTGTAGTTCCCTGGGGCATAATATAAGTCACCAGGGGCCGCTGAGGCGCGTATGTTGGCATATATGCCCTCATTGAATTTTGGAGACCAACATGAGGTACGGAAAACGAGACCGATCGCCTGTTGATGATCGGTTCGATCTTGAAGATAATCCCGCTTTTCTTGTGGGCATCTACTTTGTAAGGATCTATCTTCTTTGTGTTATGCTTCAAGCTGTGCCAAGAGCTACAATTCATAGTTTAGCCCGCCATTATTGGCGTCATCGTGTATTTTGAGCGTTATAAGCGACAAGCATTCAACAAGACAAGCTCGAAGCCTTTGAAAAGATACTTACGCCGGGAAGCTCTGCACACTTTGGGGAACGGTTCCATATACATTATACCGTCCATTTCCTCTGTTCGACGTGTATTGATGATTAGTCAGCGTCTTCATCCTCCTTCTACTGATCAGTGTGCCTTTATAGATTGATCTGACCGGCCGTTGAGCGAATGTTCCGGCGATAAATAAGGAAACAATAGCAAAAATTAGAAAAATATTCATAGTTATTGATTTTAGCCGAAAATTCAAATCAAACTATTGAAATTAGACGGGCAATACGTTAAAAAATTAAAAATTCAACAACAAAGGCGTGAGCTGTATAGCTGATTAGTTGATTTAATAAATAGGATGACGCTCTGTCCCCGTCTCCGGGCCCGCTGGCGATTCGCTTTATATACGAAGTCAATCGGTGTTTGAACGGGTTGATCCGCTTATAACATAATTGACGAGACGTGAGAAAAATGGACACACAAAATGCGCTGCGAATGAATTGACTTCCGGCCATTCGAACCCTCGCCCGATCATTGTCATGGGATTAGGCCGTTAGGTGACATGAATACTCTCTCTGTTCTTCACGCGTTGTTTTTGTTTTTTGGGAAAGGATGAAGATGTAGTTATGGTCTGAGTAGAACTAGTGGATCTTGCTGTAAGAGGATTAAAAATATTTTTCGTAAAAATTTCGGGAAGTCTTCGGGTTTTGGGGATTACTCCTGTTTTACGTGAAAATTCAAAACGTTTGGGTAAACACGCATTGTTTTGATGGGGGAAATGTGGCCAAAATGAGAAGGGAATGCTTGAAAGCGGGCAGAAATACCCAAAACTCGTTACAAGTCTAAACTTGCTTTTATGTCGGTTTCTTTAAAATAGATCATTTTGGCCTTCTTCAAGAACTTTTAGGCGTATCTTCTGTACTTTGAGTGAAACAGTTTTCCGTTTTAGTTCACCCCTTGTAAATTTCCCATCAGCGCCGAAAATCGCACAATGAACGATTTTTGCTGTTTGTTTACTGTTTACAGCGACAGTTTCTCTAGTATGAGAAATGTCTTTTTATTTACGGGATGAAAAACAGTAAAAAGTCATCAGATTTCCGGAGAAAAAAACAAAAAAAAAGCAGATGGAACGCTCAAAGTGCTGGAGAAAAGCCCGTTCAACCCGCTGTTTTTGAGAATTTCAATGGGTGTATTGATTTTTCTTTCGTTATTTACACTTGATTTTTGTTAAAATACGGGATAGTTTGACTTATTTTACATTTGCTTGGCATGTCATGGTCATGTTGGCTTCACCTGATAGCCTACATAGTCTTTTTTGCTGCATAGAATTTAGAAATTTAGCGCCCATTTGCTTTGAAAATAACTGCTGCTCGCTAGATCCATTGATTAGATTTATGAGAGTTGCACAAACTCGGCTAGACAAGTCACATTACACAAAATTTCGCCCGGAAAGCGACCTTTTGTTTTCCCGAGCTACTCATGCCTTTTTTCAAGCCCATTGTGTTCTTTAGAACTCTGATCTGTACAAGCTTCCATGTTTTGATGCCCAAAGCAAATGAGAACATAAATATTTATCAGCAAAAACCACTTTATATCTCAAGTTACAAGTCTCCTTTTTTACGGATTTTCACGTTTTATCGGGTGCAAAGCGGTTTACGGCCGGAAACAAATATTTCTTTCAAACTGCAGGTTGAAGTAACAAAGTTGAAACCATTGTTCTCTAATTTATGTTTCGATCTCTGAGCTCAGCCCTTTTTTCAGCGCTCTCTAACTCCATTAGAGCGGTGTTTTATAAGACAATACCCATCTCTGATCGGATGACCTTTCGCTTTTTACGTGAAGAATCCTGTTATCTTCGTTTGCACGCTTCTCTAGCTTTGACCCCTTTTCTCTCTGCAATCTTGGCCGCACGCCTGCCTCGAAGGCTCGAAGAAAGCGCTGCCGGGTTAAATACGCGATCGGCACCTGCCACCTCTTCAATTGTCTGATTGTTCGCAAGGCGGTTATGTGATAATTTGTTTTTGAGGAAGAAAGGCCCTCAAAAACTCACCAAGCTTGTTATTACTATTCAAAAAGCTTTATTGTTTGCGCTACATACTATTTGTTAAACTCAGTTGCATTGTAAATATTAGGAGACTGTAAATTATTAGTCATGACTGCTGGACCTCTGATTCAAATCCAAAGACCAAGGTAGGAATGTTTGTGTAGAAGCTGTCATCTTTTATCGAGTTGTCTCTAATCCTTGCATTGCTGTCGACTCTGTCACCTAGGGCTTTTTTCCAACCAACAGGCTGAAATATGGCTTGTTTCTGCCGTCCCTTGTCAGTTAATCTTTGACAAGAAGTGGGTGGATTCCTTTTTTTCGGTTTAATAGATCTAGAGTCTCTAGCCGTTCTAAAAACACATTTGTCTTAAAGTCTTTATAGATGGTTATTGCATAGATCTTCGATTGAAAAAAACAGTTCAAACAAAATAAAGCCGAACTACGTAATATATCTTGGATTTGAACCTCTTACGCTAAGATATCTTGTCTTTACTCCTATATCATAGTTTAGTCCTTTCTCTTTCAGCCCGGTGGTAATCAGCAGGAAAGTTACCGTTCACCCAACGGTTAGTGTCACCGGATTCCGTCGACGTCGATTTTACATCAACAAGTCTTGCGCAACATACCGCGAATCTTTTACAGTAAAAATGTCGGGTACCGAGGAAGTTCGTGAACAGCCAAAGCTTGAAGAAATCGCAGATCCTCCAAAATCTGAAGGTAAGAGGTCTTCTCTGTCTTCCCTTCTCATATCTCTTACATCAAAAAACAGTGAATAAAAAATGCAAGGTATCTTACGCATTCCTTTAGTAAAAAGGCCATATCGACGGATGAAAATAGTGTCCGAAAGCCCGCGAAATATTTTTACCTATTCTATTCAAGTCCAAAACGATGTCAAAGGTAACAAAAAGCAACTTCTCGTCCAACTAACCGCGCAAAATCAAGACGATAGGGTTCATTTCAGAGCCAGAACGAACACCTGCCTCAAAAACCGACTCCCACGACTCCTCCGAAACAGAGAACGATTTGGTCCACTTAGAGAACGAAGACACCGGAAGCAATCCGGATTCAGGAACACCAAAAGCAGATAAGCCCAGTGCAAACCAAGTCGTCGATTTGAAATTTGAAAACATTGACCCAGCCGCAGATGAGTCAGAAACCACGTTAAAGGTGAGTTTATTTATGAAATTTTAACCTACAAATAAAATAAAACCATACAAAAATAAGAAAAAGTCATCATTTAGTATATAATCTATAGAACATGTCGTTCCAGTCTCCCGTTCTCGCTCCAAATGCTCGCAAAGACTTCAAAGAAGACGGGTATGATACGATTGAACCCGCCGTTCAAGTCATCGACACGACCATGCTAACCGACAGTGATAAGACATACGTAACACGAAGGGCGCTGTTCATTGGGGCTGTTGGAAGCCTAGTCGTCGGAGCCTTGATTTACTTAAAATTGCACTAAAAATAAGTTTAGTAAAAAACACAATTTGTATAAAGGTTATAATAGTAAAGTGAATATAATTTTTTAACGCTGGCTTATTTTGGTCCGGCAAAAATGATTAACGTAATTTCGCTTCGCAGAATGCAACTTCAAAACAGTGGTAAAGGTGTAACCGCGTTCTGAAATGATGTATGAAGCTGGTACATTACGTTGGTCAAATACTGTATTACAGTATAAAGATTGTTTCCTAAAAGCTTAAATTTCGTTGGTTAAGTAAAAGCCATTAACATAGAATTTATGCTCCATTTTCTTGTAATTTATCTGGTACTTTCTTGACGGCTCGTAGGTGCCCGGCTTCTGACTTTGACTGGCTGTGGATTACGATGGCGGGGGCAGTCTTCAAGCCGAATGGAAGCACAATCGCTTCGAAGATTCCATATTCTTTAATTACACCGAGTAGATGTCGTGAGGCTTTGTGGATTCTGGTCGGCCAGTGTGTGTTGCTGCTTAGTGTGAAAGAGACTGGCAATACGTCGAAGCACGACTCTCAATTTCCGTAAAATGAATGCCGGCGAGAGGGTTCTTAGATGTAGTCTTCAAACTTCAGAATCAGGGGCTTGTCCCACTAACAAAGCGTAGCGCGAATCACGAATTGGAAGCGCGAAAAATCATGCAAAAGCGAGAGAGGTGAGAGAAAAAGCGGGCTCTCTCGGAAATCCGCGCTACGGTTTTTTTGTGCAAAATACCGAAAATTTTTTACTTTTTTTTGCCGTAACTCCTTTCAATGATGTCCGATTTACATGATTTTAAAAACCGTGAACAGAGGAGACCCACAGCTTCTAGAAAATGTAACTTTTGTTTGCGTTAACGCGGATTAAGGCTCCCCGCCAAGACGAATTACAACTTCCTCATGGAAAATCATGATTCGAAGTCATATTTTCAAAAAAAACTTATCCTTAGCTATTTATCGTAACTCCTAAAGCTTATATGCGAATTTATCAACCCGAGTTGCCCCTGCCAAGCCCAATGTTTGGTCTCCTCTTGTCATAATTTGCTCGGTGACAAAAAGGTTTGTTTTGGAAAAAAAAATTATAGATAAATCCTCCACTCATTCCTCAGAGACGTTGAAACAAACTATTCAAGCCAAACTACCCCTCTTACACCCAATTTTAGTCACCCTTTGTCATAATTCGTTTTATAACAAAAAAGTTCATATGGCAAGGGGAGACCAAACATTGGGCTTGGCAGGGGCAACTCGGGTTGATAAATTCGCATATAAGCTTTAGGAGTTACGATAAATAGCTAAGGATAAGTTTTTTTTGAAAATATGACTTCGAATCATGATTTTCCATGAGGAAGTTGTAATTCGTCTTGGCGGGGAGCCTTAATCCGCGTTAACGCAAACAAAAGTTACATTTTCTAGAAGCTGTGGGTCTCCTCTGTTCACGGTTTTTAAAATCATGTAAATCGGACATCATTGAAAGGAGTTACGGCAAAAAAAAAGTAAAAAATTTTCGGTATTTTGCACAAAAAAACCGTAGCGCGGATTTCCGAGAGAGCCCGCTTTTTCTCTCGCCTCTCTCGCTTCTGCATGATTTTTCGTGTTTCCAATTCGTGATTCGCGCTACGCTTTGTTAGTGGGACAGGCCCCAGGTTTTCGTATACGAAAGTGATAATTTACGAAGGAGAATTTAGACGTTTGTGCAGTATATATCAATTACGTTGGTTAAATTGAAAACGATAAACGTAGAACTTTACGACACCGCAGGAATATTGTTGGTATGTATATACCGAGAAAGCTTTTATATTATATTATATAAGGCTTCCTTCCATAGGTATAGTAGGTACATCTTATCATTTCTTCTCTCCAAAATCCGCTGGTGTTGACATCGTTGATCACACAGCCTGCGCCTGGTTCGTCAATCTGGGCATAAAATATCAAGTTGGTTAAGTAAAAACAACTAAAGAAGACCACAAATATAAAAGTTGGTTCTTGCCAATTTTTACTTACGTTGCTAAAACGACGTTGAATTTCTTTACGGAGCTAAGATTTTTCTGTTGAAGTCGACGTGAGGTTGGCAGTAGCGGTAGTAAAGGCAAACGCCTCCTTAGTGACATCCGTCTGGAGTGCCATTATACTACATTTTAGGCGGACCTGTACCACTTTTTTCTATCCAAATTCCGATGATGTTGACTTCCTTGATGCACAAAGCCTTGCATGGATCATCAATCGGGGCGTGTAATTCTACATTGGTTAAGTAAAAACGATTAAAGCAGTCCAGAATTACGACAAAGGCTGCATGAAGCTGGTACATTATCTTTGTCAAGTATAAAAGTTGATTCCTGGCTATTTAAATTACGTTGGTTAAGAAAAAACGATTAAAAAAGCTTTGAGACACTTTTAATCTTCCGGTACTGAATATTCATTAACTTACGACCAGGCTTATTTCGTCAATCAAAACCGTAAGTTCAATTATTATATTGTACCATAATTAATTATTACATATATGAGTTAAAAAGAATATACTCTTAAATTACGGCCATTGTTGCTTCATCGAGTAGAATTCAAGGCCATAAATTGCAAACGATAGAAATTGTAATACAAGTTTTATAAAATTTATTATATACACTGTAAAAAATGAATATATATATATACGTATATCGCAAATAATCTTCAAAAAAAGTTTTCACATAAAAAAAACAAGACTCTCATTGTCAGAATTTATTATTATTTTAATAATAATAAACATATTGCTTAAAAGCAGAACAGAAACTGTGGAACGCGAAAAAAATTCACGCTGCCGAAAGTAAGCAGACAAAAATTTTCGAAGGTCAAGACCACAGAAAATTAGCGAAAGTTTGAGAAAAGATGACGTCATAATTATTTCTGAAAGATTTTTCTGCGTCAGCGTATCCGAAAAACCTTTGACGATAACTTTTGTCAACGGCGCAGCAAAACAATGTTTTTCTGTCATGCTTCCTCATAAAAAGTCCACTTTTCGTTAAAAAATGGGCTGATTTGAACTCTTGAAAAACAAAGGGATATTTTGTTGACTTTTCTCTTATTTTGTAAATAATCGAGTTTCCATATTCGTGAGAAATTATTTTCCTATTTTTCCTTCTTTCGAAGTTTCTGGTTTCATTTTTTCGCCGCAGAAAAAATACGTTATAGCGGGCTCGAAATAAAAAGAGCGGGGAATTTTCGAAGACCAAGTCAGTTGCCTCGAGTTTTCTTCTTTTGGAAACCTTTTTCGGCCGTTTTCTCTTCATTTTTGCAATTTTCGGTGGGTTTTTCCTTTCAGAGCGTTTCAAAAAAAACTTTTTCAATTTTCAATAAATTCCCGGCATGTTTATCCACAAAAAATTGATTTTTCTAGAATTTTCTGTATTTCAAAATCCATTTTCTTTTTTCTTGCTTTTTGCAAACAAAAGAGCCACTTTCTGGCATTGGTTGTTTTCTCGCCGGGGTACAATTTTTTCATTTTATAGCTTTTTAATGCTTCTTTGTATTTAGAAATGGGCCTTTTTCCATCAAAAGACGACCGCCGATTGTTTGACGAAGACGGTCTTGAGATTTGGAGCGATGAAGCCATTGCGATCCGAGATCAACTGAGAAAACGCCGGATCAGAGCCGCAATTCTGAGCGCATTATTGGCCATCGGGCTTGGAGTGGTGGTAGCGCAGAGAAGGCGAATCCTTGATGCGATTAGACGTTAATCGGATACTTTATTATTCAATTGTGCCGTTTTGTTGTGAGAATTGTGATGATATACCTCAAAATTGCCATAATAAAATTTTCTAAATAACAGTATCTGTGGTATCAGATAGATTTAAAATTGAAACCATGTGAACTTTTGCTTTATTTTTCTGAAAACCATGTTTTATAAATTGACCTCCTATGCCCACACATCGCAATGCTTTTTTGGCGCATAAGACGACCCGACAGGGCAATTGTAGGCAGCTCGGAAAGCAGGGGTGTTCTGCAAGGTTCCGTGGATTCGAGCGAATAATGGGGAGTGCGCATCAGCCCCATCATCTTCTTTTGGGACATTCGAGCACCAGACATGAGCAAACGCGAGGAAAAACAGTTGGTCTTGGGTGAACTTATTCCACGGTTGGCCAGGGAGTTGAGGATCCAGGCCATATAACGCTTGTTCGGCTTTGAACGAGTTGAACGTAGCGCGTAGACCTAGAGAAGAAGTTCATAGTTATTAGAAGTCCGCAGGCAATAAGACAATTTTGTACGGTAATCTATAGCTAAGAGACCGGGGTGTCTTGAGCCCATAATGCTTCGTCCTTACCTCCATTATCTGCAATATCCTCAGCTTGAGTGAGTCTTCCTCTTCCATGGAGCTCATCGTACTCGGCGATAACACACTCTGCCATATCATTGAAGTTAGCCCATGACGTCTCGTCCATCCACGGATTCTGCTCGCCTTGGTCATCATATTCCACTCCGTTCGTATCAAATCCGTGAGTAATTTCGTGGCCGACAACATAGCCGATTCCTCCGTATTGAATAGCCGCAGGGTAGTTGACGTCGAAGAGCGGTCGTTGCAGGACTCCCAGAGGGATGTAAAAATTATTGAGTTCTGGCAAGTACCAAGCATTCACAGTTCTTATCGGCCAAGTGAAGTTAAGATTACGACGGTCCTTTCCCAGAACGCTCTCCCAAGCCTGAGATTGAGCAAAGTCACGGATTTTTTCGGCCGATGTAAGCTCATCGTCTCTGGCAAAGTCCTGATCATTAATTAAAGATTCGTAATGTTTGTTTAGAACGTTGTCGTTTTCTATCCAGTCGTCGTAAACGACGTTGTAGAGCATAGCATCAATCTTTCTGTAAGCGGCGGCCTTGACCTTCGGAGTAAACGACGAAAATTGTTCGATTTGATGCTAAAAAACAGATTGTATAGAATTATTTACTTTACCCTAAATCCTGTAATTATTTTCTTGGCAATGACCTTGACTCTTTTTACAAATTCTTTTCTTTTTGTCTTGTCCGGCAAGTTTTGATCCAAGTACACTCTGTCAAGAGCTACGCCCATCTGATAGAGCTCATCGATACAGCGTTCCTCGTTTTCAGCGATGACGTAAGGATCCTTTTTAGGTATTGGAGGGACGATACCGACATGTTTGACCCCTCTTCCAGCTCGAAGCCATTGATCAGCAACACACTCTTTCGGTTTCGTGATGAAATACTTTCTCAGACTTCTGGCCAGACGAACATTCAAGTAGTTCAAGACAGTAGCCGGGTCAGTTTCAGCAACAAAAGTCTGAACTGTTGATGATTTTTTTGGAGACGTCAAATAAATCTTGTGGTCAGTGGACGTCAAAAAGTTCAGAAGTTCGGAGTTTTTTGTAATTCTTGCAAAAAAGGCGTTGAAATCAATGGATTTTCCGTAACATGTTAGTTCGGAGAGTCGTAAATGTGACGGAAGCTCATCTGGAATCTGGACCAACAGCTTCGCCAACTCTTTTTCGAATCTGACCACTTTCTCAATCGATTCATCAAGTTGATCCTCATCGAGTCCCTTTCCGAGAACTTCAGCTAATTGTTGAAGATAATCCTTGATGGAAACTTTATACTCGGTTTCGAACTCGTTAAAAGCTTCCGTAAAGTAGACTTCTGGGAAAGCGAGTTTAGGTTCATCAATCAGCAGACGGTTTCCTTCAATCTTGTACGACAATAAAGTGTTGAGTTCGAACTTTTGCGCCAAGTATCCAACGATTTCGCCGAGTCTGGCCGGGCTTGAAGTCATATTGGACGATCCTTGAAGCAAAGGGAAGACGGAGCCAAACTCAGCGGTCATTTCGCTGTAGATTCTTCGCAATTCTTCGCCCGTTCTTTGGGAAACATTCCGGGTAACACAAGCATCATACTTGTTCTTTAAAATTTGGTACCATTTTGGAGCCTAAAGTCAAAATCTCGGGTAAAATTTATCTATCAATAAATTTGCCTCGTTTCCGACCAACTTACTCCATTGGCGCTTCTTTTCAAACCCTCGATAACGTTTTTCGTATTAGCCGCATCTATTACCATGAAATAATTTTCGACGTCAGCATGCTGGCAAGTATAATTGTAAAAGTCGTTGCATGGAGATGCTTTGAATTCGGCGGCTTGCGCCAAGGATTTTTTGAAAACGCTGTATGCTTCGTATCTCCGGTCTTGAGGCGCAACTTCGACAGGCTTTGGGATATTTAGACCTTCAGAAAGTTTGAATCGGAACTCTGTAAGAGGACATGGTTAGGCAGATACCGTGAAAAGCCAAGTTACAAACATACCACTTGCATTCCCATACACAGCCGAAGCAACGGCCAGCACATACAACAAAAGCCACTTCATTTCGACTTTGTTTTCAATTCTGAGATTGAAGTGTTCCGTTAAATATGTTTTTGAAGACAGTAGGGCAGTAGCTGATAAGCAGTTTAACAAAGGGCGCAAAGCAGTGACGTTTTTTTAACAATCGGAGAATTCAAATTTCTAGGAGCGCCCTTTTCTTACAGTTTCTGCAATGCGAGTTCCTTTGTTTTCGGACCTTTAATTAAATTTGATCGTAACCATGTTGTTGTTTGATATTCTGATGAGTTGTATTATCAGTTGTCATACAACCAGAAACAAAGGTTTGATCCTCTGTTTGTTGTTTGCAGCGCATGCTATGCTTCTGATCGTGAGACATTGGTGGAAGGTTATCAATTTTTTGGCATGGGTTAAGAAGAGGCAAAACGATCGCTGAATTGTAGGCTAATTGGAGCGGTGGTTTTGCCACCCATGAAAATGTCATCGAGTCGAAATATATACATCCATTTCGAACCCTTTTTTATACGCTAAATGCGCACACGATGGACCCACGGAGCTCCAGAAACCTTAAATCATTTGATTGTCAATCTATTAATTCTCTCTATGTAGCTCACGTAATCTTTGTGTAGTTCACGTAACGTATCACAATGTTGAATCTCTGCCAGTATTAAATTTTACCTCAGACTTTGTCAACTACCAACTTCCTTTTGCTGCGTGACTGTGCCCTTTCCCGAGGTTGCGCGTATATCTTCAGCCAGTTATTTTTTAATTATTTTTTTCACTACTACATACATATATTTTCGCCGGCGGATGTAACCAAAAAAAATGCGAGATGAAATTAGCGATTTTGTGAGTCTATTTGAATCAAGTTGTTGGATTAGAGCCCCGAAAATGTCGAAGGTCTTTCTGGACATTCAAGGACTCAGGTGTGTCGCGGTATTCTTTGTCCTCCTGTTCCATCTATGGCCAGGGCTGTTTGTGAATGGCTTTCTCGGGGTTGACATGTAAGTTGCCGTCTGTGGCTGAATTGGCCGCTGCATTCCACATGTCTCATCTAAAGTTTGCTCCAGATTTTTCGTAATTTCCGGTTTCTTGATCTGCAATATTCTTCGCAAAAAAGAAATCAATATCACAACGGCAAGGGAGTTTTATTTTCGTCGGATCCGCAGAATTGTTCCGCTTTACCTTGCCATGATCATAGTCGTGCTATTGTCAGCGCTCCTGCTAATGCCTGGATTTGAACACAAATCAGTCGCGCAGGAGTCGCAATCGGCAATGTTCTTCCTTTCCAACTACCTGAACCTGCCTAAAACGGGCTACTTCGACGTCTCAAATCAGTATCCCCTGTTTCTGCATACCTGGTCGCTGTCTGTGGAGATTCAATTTTATCTGTTGGCACCAGCAATATTCGCGGTCTTTGGCAGTTTAGCCAAGAGAAGGGAGATATTTGGATATGGATTTGCCATGGTTTTAGCGGCATGTTCATTGGCGTCCCAAATATTGCTTGATGAGAAATGTGAGTATTTCTATTAAAGCGGTACGATATAAACCCAAATTTTTACTGTCGCTCAAATTATGAAGTGTATTTTATCAACATTCTCAAAATCTGTAGATCCCAACACTTCCCATATGGCCACTTTTTGTCGGCTATGGCAATTCTTCTGTGGCTTTGCCGCTTCTTCATGCAAAGCATACTCAACGGACACAACGGCCTCAAAACCGGCTACAATCGATGACTCTGCCGATAAGGTACCACTTTTACACACAACAACTGCAATTCAGGCAACCAACAACTGCGAGCCTGGACCCCTTACAGTTTCGATCATTCGGAACGTCATAGTAATTTTGTTATGTCTGCAACTTTCATTTGACATCATCCACAACCGCGAATACACGCGTATTTTTGCGACTCTTACGACGGGTCTGTTTTTATGTTTCGAGGGTTCATCGATTCTATCTTCCGAGTGTGTCGTGCGTATCGGCGATATCTCATACGCAATCTACTTGATTCATTGGCCCGTTTTCACATTATTCAAATATGTAGGGCTGGGAAAGGAGGTCGATGGAATACTTTTTACAGGTGAGCAGCTAAAGCTTTGGAACTACCGGCCTCTGTCCGAATCATTTATTCAGAATACAAAAAAAAACATTTTGGAGGAAAATTTCTGGGAGATTTAGGCAAATTACACGCGCAGAACTTTCTGTATAAGTCTGCCGGGAAAATAATGAGCGCTCTGTCGCATCGAAAATCGCATCGCCGCCGGGAAAACAAATTGTGTCGCGACAAAATCCAATTGCTTTTCACTTTCGTGACGTGATCTCAGCAGCGACATTGTGCACATTATTTTCCCGACAGACTGATAAATATTGTACACAAAATTGGAAACCAGCCCTGCGGCGAGCATGACAAAAATTCGCAAAAAATAAAGCACTCCGTGAAAAAATTAATCACGCAAAGTATTATCTGCAGATGGCTTCTTCTTGATCTTCATCACGGTCATTGCTGCGTATTTCGTCGAACACGTTTTCAAATTTGTCTCCCTGCACGTTAAAGACTGGTCGACCCTGATCCTCCTTCTAACAGCACTCTATGCAATTTCTGTTGGAACAACGGTTATAATGAAGATGGTATCAGACATCCCTTCGCAGATCGCAAGAACTGATGGCTTAGAATTTGAAAAAGTTGTTGAAAATTTGTTTGCACATCCGGAGCAGGCCACAAAAAAAGAAACCAATGAGATATTGGAGATTAATGATAAAATGAGGGACTATCAATGGAGCCGCTTTGATGTTTGTCACAATAAATCGAAAACATTGGATACACGTTACAAATTTCGAAGGGAGAACATTGAGCTTTATTGCCATGACAAGGTATGGATTTCATCAAAAGCTTGTCATTCATTTTGCTGCCGCCGTTTTACATAATTTCAGGGCGCCGGAACAAAAGAAATCGTCTTGATTGGTAACAGTTTGGCCCGAGATCTATTTTATTCCGTGAAATCTTCAATGAGCGATGTTTACGGCCGATTTACAATGTTTGCAACTCGAGTTTGCATGCCTTTTTTGCCGGAATTGTTTGAGAAAAAGGAGTGCAAGGGCTTTGCCGAAGACATTATTCCAATATTGAAAGAGTGGAAAAAACCAATCGATATTGTCATCACAATTCACTCGTAAGTGCATAATGTATTATTTACGTCTGAATCGCGTCCTGAGAAAGGGTTTTTCTCAGGATGCTTTTTTTGATCTTCGGGTCAGCACAAAATCGATCGAGGAGTAGGCCAGGCGAACAAAACCCCAAAAAAATTGTAGGAGGCACCTACAAGGCCTGGAAAAGCCGTTGCATACTTGGGCAGGCTCGGCGGAGGCCCTTTCGAGTTCTTACAGTATGACCACATTTCCTGATTTTAACTGCTAGTGATCTCACTTAGCTCTCTTGACCCGTATCGTGAGCGATTGTAACATAGAAAAAAACAAAAATTCCACCGAAGGACGAACATCCGTAAACTTTAACTGGATATAATTGCAGTACTATATGCCTAAAAATACGTGATACACTGTCCTGGGATCTGATATACCTTATTATTTCTATATATTAAATAAGCCTTCTCCTAACCTTCTCCATGTATGCAACGACAAATTGAGGCAATCCAAAGTATCGTTGACCCAAAAAGCCGTAGCGCCGATCTTTTTCTCTCGCAAAACAAATTAACCAAAATTTCAAAAATTTTTATTCGATGGTCGCTTAGATAAGACATGAAGCAATGCGCGAGAAGGAAAAAGGAACTTTACGGAGTAATACGTATATAAGGTGACGTGAAGTTAATCTCCACGTTCTTTCAGTTGGTACGATCTCCGCGTCCATGCGCTTTCCAAGGGCGACAAATACCAGACGGCGATTCAAGACTTCTACTCAGCCCTCAATGAGATTGCCCGAGAAGCGGTGATTATGAACAGGGGCGACATATACTGCGCGTCAAAAGTTTGGAACAGGCCAGATCTTCTTTGCGGCTTGAGATGGGAGTTTCATTTCTTTTTTATTAGAAGCTCCATGTATTAAGAACGTCAATGAATACATAGCCATGGAAATCAGAAAGCTCGTTGGAATTTTAAAAAAAAATTTAAAAAATAAGTGCGTCAAAAGTTTGGAACAGCTTTTGGAAGGTGATTATAAACTTCAGGATGGAGGCAGGTATCCTCGCATTTAGTGTTTCTGGATGATGTATGGAATCGGCATGCCAATGGCATACTGATTTTCATCGATAAACCCAAAATGAAAAAAATGCTTATTGAGTCAAAAACTACGGTCAAATTTGCGAAAAAATGAATTTTTTGGGTTGGGTTCTCTATGTTATCGGTGTGTAAGCGTCCTAAAATATTTAATGTGGTCGCACAATTGTACAAGGGCACTCAGATCTTCGCATAGGAACCATATCCGCACAGCATAATTTGTGAAAATTTTGAGTTTTGCTATAAATCTTTATTTAATGTATTTTATATTTTTCATAGAGCGGCTTGGAGGCTAATTGGCTTGGACACCGTTATCGTGGAATAAAAAGGTGTCTTTAAGAAGCAGAACCTGGCCACTATTTGCAACATCAAGGCCACATCTTTAAAAATAGCGGGTATATGAAATGTTAATATTCCTATATTTTTTATCTTGGATTTGATGCCGCTGCATGGCTCAAAACTAAGTGCCTTTATCGTTATCACACGGATACAGTATTATAAACCAACTTTCCGAATTATCCCGCCACAAATCCGGGTCAGATATGAATATTGATTTTGGGGACAAAAATTTTTTTAATATCTGAAAGATGTGGCCTTAGATGTTGCAAGTAGCGTGGGTTTTTGTTTCTTGAAGACACCTTTTTATTCCACGATAACGGTGTCCAAGCCAATTAGCCTCCAAGCCGCTCTATGAAAAATATAAAATACATTAAATAAAGATTTATAGCAAAACTCAAAATTTTCACAAATTATGCTGTGCGGATATGGTTCCTATGCGAAGATCTGAGTGCCCTTGTACAATTGTGCGACCACATTAAATATTTTAGGACGCTTACACACCGATAACATAGAGAACCCAACCCAAAAAATTCATTTTTTCGCAAATTTGACCGTAGTTTTTGACTCAATAAGCATTTTTTTCATTTTGGGTTTATCGATGAAAATCAGTATGCCATTGGCATGCCGATTCCATACATCATCCAGAAACACTAAATGCGAGGATACCTGCCTCCATCCTGAAGTTTATAATCACCTTCCAAAAGCTGTTCCAAACTTTTGACGCACTTATTTTTTAAATTTTTTTTTTAAAATTCCAACGAGCTTTCTGATTTCCATGGCTATGTATTCATTGAGGTTCTTAATACATGGAGCTTCTAATAAAAAAGAAATGAAACTCCCATCTCAAGCCGCAAAGAAGATCTGGCCTGTTCCAAACTTTTGACGCGCAGTATATTTATCCCACAGACCTTCCAAACGATTCAAAACTCGGTCAGAAGAGGGGTGCATCTCCACCGTTTTGACTACTCCTTGTCCGAGGATCGAAAAGTCAATGAAGAAATTCACAAGCGCATAGATGCGTTGGATTGTTTAAGATGTCTTAAACTGGAACTCTATGAAAAAACGTTTTGTTCGAACACGACAAACATTTGCACTATGGTGAATGAAAATGGGCTTGCCAATTTCCACGACGGCCGACATTTGACGATGCTTGGCTCGCTGTCAGTGGGGAGGACGCTGAGAAGGGAATACAATGCATCAAACCCACAACGTTTACGCAGCGTCTAAGAGCTAATTCTTATTATAAGTCGGTTGGAAAAATACTCAGCAGTATGTATGTTATTATCGCGTCGTTGAAGTGAAAAGGAATTTGGTTTTGCCGCCACACAATTCATTTTTCGCGGCGACGATGCGATTTTCACTGCGCTCATTAATTTCCGGACAGATTGTTAGACAAAATAAATAAATAAAAATAATTTTGAACGTGGTCGTTGGTTCGCTCGATAGGCTTCTAAACGTAACAAACTCGCAGATGCCGCTCATGCGCGTGATATCAAACTCAATACGCACTAAATTAGAGGTGCAGTCGTTTTGTGCGAACGTACGTGATATGCCGGGTCGTTCGTTCTGTTTGATCAAGCTATGGGTGCGGCAGGCCCACATCATTGGTAAACATTGCATTAAGAAAAGACATTTGTGCGTTTAATGAATCTGGAATGAACTTACAACAAGAAAAATGGTGGATCATGTAGAACATCTGGCGTCTTATCCCGCGGCTGGCGCTTGTATTGTATGTCAAAAGCTGACAAGATGGCATCAATGTGGAGTTTGGGTAAGGCGTTCGGAGTTCAAGCTACAAAAAATTAAGCTGTTTTAGTGCAACCTATTAATTTCTCCTTTATTAAAGACTATTGTGTGTGGTTAGCGCTCAATTTTTAGGTGTGCGGGCAATGCGAGGATTTCTTCTTTAAACAGGTGGCTATAGGTCAAAAAAGGGCTGACTACGAAGTCGAAAACAAATCGCGACAAGGTACGTTTCAAGTTAAAAAAACAATTTGAAACTGTTCACCTTTAAATAAAGTTTGTTTGCTTTAGATAATCCAATGTCATCTCAAAAAAATATAGTTAATTTTTCCGCAATTAGAGCATCCTTACTGTCGAATCCAGCGCCGGTTTCGTATGACTTCAAGCATTTTACAACCGGAATAACTCGAGCATCCTCAAGGCTGTTTAGGGCTCTCGAAAACCTTCATACGTTCGAGTTGTCGGAGGTTTTGAAGATATTTCCGCAACTGGACATCGGTGCCAGAAGCGTAAGTAACAGACTGCAGACGTTCGTTGAACTTGGATTTTCCAAACTTTTCCTGTTTTTCAGTTTGTTCAAACAAATGGGACCTTATACACGCCCATATCTCAGAAAGCATGCTCAGCCTTTGCCATAATGCTTTGCAGCGCAATTCCAGCTCTCGGTGATCTAGATACCGTAGCTCGCGTGAGTGCTTCATGTTGCGTCATTTCACTTCCATTTTCAGATGCACTTTGCAGCAGAAACAAAATTTGAATTGCACATGGTAAACGAATTCTACATGACGGCCGCTTCCTTTCCGGAGGTCGGCGACCCCCGGTTGGCTGTGATGCCTGGGCTCTCGGTGAATCTTCTTGACCAGGCCGAAGGATATTGGTTTGACGGGGAGATGGCAGAAGATGAGAAGGCCGCTTATATGAAGTAAGGTTGCTGTAAAAAGACAGTCTATATGCGAGGGTTTGCGTTTAGAGCCCCTTTTCAGAATATATTATACAATTCTTGGCTTTTTGCGCCGTGAAATGGCCTTTTTTCGGCTGCCATAGGACAGTAGTTTTTTTGCACAGCGCAAACGCCAGAAATTACTCGGGCGGCTTCGCAAACGGACTAGGACTAGGCGACAAAAAGTTATTTTCAGTTTACTCCGACCCTACCTTTTCCATTACCTGTCCATGGTGAACGAGTTCAGGATACGTGGTCTAAATCAATTTGACGTATGCTTCATCATGCTCCTAACGATATGCAAATACTGTAAGAACTAATTTACACAGGATGCAGTAAATACTGCATTTTTTTACTTGCATATGTATGCATATTTAGGCGACGGCGAGGACGAGCTAAACAAAACTATAAGTCAATTCAAAGGCCGGGTCTTGGCTGAGTATTCCGAGTACTTAAGAAGACGCTACAAGGAGAAAAGCTATGATCGGCTAATGAGTATTTTACTGCTCTACGATAAAGTCGTTGTAAGCCTTTTTGCGTTTTTTTAAATCAATTTTAGAAATTTTCAATTGACTCAAAAAATCTGCAAGCCCAATTGGAATTCTTGCGTTCCAACGGAGCAAAGGTGAGCCATCAGAAGGAGGATGACACTGTTTTTAGTTTGCCTTGTATCCTATTACTGTGCGAAGGTAGTATCAAATCCGGTAGTATGTCGTAAAAAAGTTATCGTATATAAATAAATATTGCTAATAAACAACTTGTAAGTCTTTTTTGAGCATGCTTTATAAACTAGTTAATTAAAATCCTCTTCAGATAATTAGGTTCAGAACGTGATCAAGCCTTGATGTCGCTGGTCTTGTAGATGCAGATCTTGCCATCTCCATTCTCTTGGCTTGTGTACTTCCTAACGCTTTTGGGTTCCTGGTTGTTGTTGTTGGTTCCCTGGAAGTTCTCACAAACCGTCTTGACACTGCCTGCAATTTCGATGTTCCTCAACGTGGCAGAATCCTTGTAGTTCCCGTTGACTCCGGCAATGACTTTCGTGGCTCCGGAGAGTTTCACGGTATCAATGACAACGTGACGGTCAAACCCGTTGTTTTTGCAGTTTCCGCAAGAACGATAGAGCTTTCCAATGTCTTGAGTCTAAAAGATGATATACGATGTGGTCTGCGGAAAGCCGTCTACCTGGAAATTCTTGATGGTTAAGGTGCCACCTCCGTTGTGTTGGAAGACCTTGTCGTCGGCCTTCTTGGCACCACCTCCGGTTACAGAATACGTGTCGCCGCTTTTGCCCTTAAATGTGGCCGCGTCTTCTCCGACGTCCTCCCACCAGACGTTCTCGATTTCGCAGGCACCCAGACAATGAATTCCATCGGCAGCTGGATTTCCCAGGACAACATTGACAATCTTTGCGCCTGCTTGCAACTCAAAAATTGGGTCTTGTCCTTCAGCTTGAGAACCGTCACCACCGGCAAATCCAGCGACGAATCGGCCATTCTTACCATCGTAGGTCTGCCCGCTCTTCACGGTGATCTTCTTGGGCACCTTGGTGGTGGAGCTTGGGTTGGGCCAAGCTCCAAACTGAGCCGAAACAACGGCAACAGAGAGTAAGGTTATAATGGCGAATTGGACCATCTTCAACGGACGTTGAAATGAATGCGATGAATTGGCCAAATCAGTGAGGTTTTATACTCAACTTGTTGACGGTTCTCGGGCTCGTGCCCAACGAACTTTTGCTTGAACAGATGGCGGGTTGAGAAGCCTAACCGGATCGAACTTAATCCCAAGTTGGAGCGTTTAGTTTCGACAACAAAGCGACAGTTGGGCTAACAGAGGGTTAGAGTCAACTCTGAAGTAATGAGTGCGGTAGATTTGCCTCTTTTGAAAAAAGAGAACGGGAATGGTTTTTTATATTCTAGAGATCGATGTGAGATTATCTCGTTTCGCGTTTTGCTGTTCGGGCCAAAAAATAAGTTTTATAGGAATTTCCGCCGTTAGGAGTCGCCGAAGTCAGGCGCTTGAGTAAATGTATCGAAAGATACTATAAGTGAGACCAGTAAAAAATCGAAGACGTTGACTTATCGTCCTGAAATTTTGCATAGCGGTAGAGCAAAAAATTCTAAGACTTTTGGCTTTTCAAAATTCACTCTGCGCCGATTTTGGCGGGAACTGCGGGCGTTTGAAAATGAAATTTTTTGATTTTCTTTTGGGCGTAACTTTTTGAATTTTTCGACTTTTCCTTAGCTTCTGGCTCAGTTTCACCTTTGTTGGGGTCCGAAACTTTGCGGATTTTCAAAATTTGCATATCTTGCCCTTAGGCAAAAAAGTCCGTTTTGTCGCCAATCGGAACGGAATCAAAAATTTTCAAATTCCATTCTTATCTGCATCTCAAAAAAATGACATTACTCCGTTACACCCCCCAAAAATAATCGACCGGTCGATAGTTATTCCCGATTTTCCGAAATTTCAATTTTTCACCATCAAGATGACGGAATTTCTGGATTTTGACAACGGATTCTGATTCAGCATGCCTGACATACCCTAGAACCACCTTTCGTATCTTTGCATCGTATTTCGTATTTTAGCCATTCGAGATTTTTCGAAATTTCCCAAAATAGGCCAAATTTTCCGGAATTTTTTCCGGGAAAACTAGATCGAAATTCAAAAAAAGGGCCAAGTCTTGACCTCAGAATTGGACCAGAGTACCTGTAGAATTTTTTTCCGCTTCTGACCTCCGGTGGGATTCTCAAACAACTTGCATGTTGCATATTTCACGATAATTGTTTTCCCACTTTTTTCCGGAAAATCGGCCAAAAGTGCCCTTAGACGGCCGAAATTCGGAATTCTGTTGAAAGCATTCGATTCAGCATGTCTGATTACACCTGAACACACATCAACCACGGCTACATCGCGTTTCTTACTTTCGTGACGAAAATTTTTCTTCCGGGGATCAGATGTCAAGTGTAATATCAAAATTTTTTTTTCTCGAAACTGAAGTTGAAATTCAAAAAAAGGGCTGCATAACGTTTGTGGCAATTGAATTACCTTCCCTCTGCATTTTTTTCAGCTTCTGGGATCGTGCCGCTGAAGCTGCTCCGTTGGCAGAAGGTCGATTTTTCGAAATTTTTCGACCAAACCGGCCCTGGGGGCACGGAATTCAAATTTTTCGGAATTTTATTGGTTCCATTGGATTCAGCGTGTACGAGTTGACCTAGGAACATGTATCACACGCCGCAGTAACGTTTCGTATTTTAGACATTCAAAATTTTCTTCCACGGAGCAGGTGTCATGAACAACATTAAAATTTTTTTTTCTCGAAACTGAAGTCGAAATTCAAAAAAAGGGCTGCATAACGTTTGTGGCAATTGAATTACCTTCCCTCTGCATTTTTTTCAGCTTCTCAGGTCTTCTCCCCGAGGCTGCTCCGTTGGCAGAAGGCCGATTTTCGGGATTTCGAAAATTTCGAACTTTGCCCTCAGGGCGTCAGAATTCAAATTTCGTGAATCGAAACGTACACCATCGTGATCAGCGTGAATTATCGGTCCGGATAGCATTTTCATTTCCTAAAATACGACCGTCCGGACCAAAATTCAAATTTTTTCCCCAGGGCCAGGTGTCAAGTGTAATATAAAGTCCTCATTCGCGTAGTCGGGGACGAAAGTCAAAAAAGAGTTTCGTTGTGCCTTTGTATTTGCCTGGAGTTGCTTCGTAACCATTTTCAGCTCATGATGTCGACCCACTGTAGCTGCGCAGTTGCCAGAGGGCCGATTTTTGGCATTTTTCGCATAAATTCGGCCCTCAGGGTAAGTAAGGTTCGAAATTCAAAATTCGGCTCGGTTCAATTTTTGACCAATTCGGTAAGCTTCCGTCGTGCCAAATTTCAGCCCACTCGGTTTCGAACTGAGTGAGCACTGCCTCCAGAAAGCGCGGGGATATTGATTTATATACGCAACGTTTTTTATCGCGAGCTGGCGAGGCCGAAGGCCGAGCCAGCTCGCTTGCTGCTCCGGGAGGCTCCAGCCGAAGGCTGGAGCCGACCGGAGCCCTATTCACACAGCGAAACAGACAATTTTTATAAAAATTTATTGCGAGCTGGCGAGGCCGAAGGCCGAGCCAGCTCGCTTGCTGCTCCGGGAGGCTCCAGCCGAAGGCTGGAGCCGACCGGAGCCCTACTCACATAAGCGAAAAATACTATTTTAATAAAAAAAAGAAGCGAAAAATACTATTTTAATTAAAAAAAAAAGCGAAAAACACTATTTCTATAAAAATTTATTGCGAGCTGGCGAGGCCGAAGGCCGAGCCAGCTCGCTTGCTGCTCCGGGAGGCTCCAGCCGAAGGCTGGAGCCGACCGGAGCCCTATTCACACAGCGAAACAGACTATTTTTATAAAAATTTATTGTGAGCTGGCGAGGCCGAAGGCCGAGCCAGCTCGCTTGCGGCTCCGGGAGGCTCCAGCCGAAGGCTGGAGCCGACCGGAGCCCTATTCACACAGCGAAACAGACAATTTTTATAAAAATTTATTGCGAGCTGGCGAGGCCGAAGGCCGAGCCAGCTCGCTTGCTGCTCCGGGAGGCTCCAGCCGAAGGCTGGAGCCGACCGGAGCCCTACTTGCATCAGCAAAGTTCAAAATTTCACTCAATCGCCAAGTGTAATATAATTTTTATTTATCGACCGGTCGAAAGTTAGGAAATTTTTTTTCCATTTTCGCTAAATTTTTGATTTCGTCCTATTCTGCGTGAAATTCTAAGCCTTCTGAACCCTATTGACAATTATTGACCGGTCGAAAGTTATTCGCAATTTTAGTCAAGTATAATATTAATTTGTTTCGGCTGTAACTTCGGTCAAATCGCATATAAATGGATCGGCATGGTCTCTAAAAATCAGAAATGTAATCTACTACAATATTTTCTATTTGATTCCTGCATTTTCTTTCATTTAAAACATTTTTTTCTCAAATTTTCGCAATTTTCGAGGTCAAGTACAATATAAATTTTTTTTTGGTATAACTCGCTTCCAGTTCCACATAAAATTTTGATTTTTTTTTAAATATCATAAATCAATCATATTTTGATAAGCTCATCATTCCCCGCTGTTTTGAAAGTATTTTATCAAAATTTATTTGCAGTTCCTCGGGCGCAGCCTGCACCCCAAACCGCTTTGTTTCCCCAAAAAAGGGAGTCTATTTTTCCGCATTTTTCCGCATGAGCTTTGTAATTTTGCATAATTTCTTTCGTGCTTTTTCGTGTTATATAATTTTTTACATTTTTAATTATGTTCTTTCCAGGTTTCATCAAGACCGAGCTCCATCAAGACAGGACTTAGGTATGTTTTTTTTTCTTTTCTTTTGTTGATCGTGAAGGGGGGGGGCAGAAAGGATGGAAACGGGCGTAAAATGGTTGGGAAAAGCTTGGCAAAGCTTTGGCCGAGGTGTATTAAAAGTTTTGTCGACGTTTTGTCGAACTTTTTGCCCAGTTTTCACCTTATTTTAGGCGGCAAAAGGGTTTACCCAAGAGCCGCCTAAAATAAGGTGAAAACTGGGCAAAAAGTTCGACGAAACGTCGACAAAACTTTTACTACACCTCGGCCAAAGCTTTGCCAAGCTTTTCCCAAACATTTAACACCCAGTTTCTTCTTTTCTGTCAGAAAAATTACTTATTTTTGGGGTTTTTTGAAGTTTTTCCTATTTTTGGGAATTTTTTTAATTTTTCGGTGTTCAAGGGGAAGGAATGGGAAGAAAGAAGGTGTGAAATGTTTGATAAAAGCTTGGCAAAGGTTTGGCGGACCTTTGGCTCCTCTTTTCGCCCAGCTTTCACCTTATTTTAGGCGGCTCTTGGGTAAACCCTTTTGCCGGCTAAAATAAGGTCGAAACTGGGCAAAAAGTGGAGGCCAAACGTCCGCCAAGCCTTTGTCAAGCTTTTATCAAACATTTCACACCTACTTTCTTCCCATTTCTTCCCCTTGAACATCGAAAAATTAAAAAAATTCCCAAAAATAGGAAAAACTTCAAAAAACCCCAAAAATAAGTAATTTTTCTGACAGAAAAGAAGAAACTGGGTGTTAAATGTTTGGGAAAAGCTTGGCAAAGCTTTGGCCGAGGTGTAGTAATAGTTTTGTCGACGTTTCGTCAAACTTTTTGTCCAGTTTTCACCTTATCTTAGGCGGCTCTTGGGTAAACCCTTTTGCCGCCTAAAATAAGGTGAAAACTGGGCAAAAAGTTCGACAAAACGTCGACAAAAGTTTTAATACACCTCGGCCAAAGCTTTGCCAAGCTTTTCCCAACCATTTTACACCCGTTTTCTTCTTTTCTTTCAGAAAACGGACTTATTTTTGAATTTTTTTTAATTATTTTTTTTTTTTTACAGAGCCGCTTTTGAATCTCGATAAAACTGATCAAAGTCAAATGAATGTGAGTTTTTGATTTCTTTGAAAGTACATGTTCGTTTTACAGGGAGGGGAGGGGGGGGTGAGTTCGACGCTCAGATTTTGATGAAATTTGGCACATATAATAATTCGGAGACTTTTTTTAAACAGATTAACCAAAATCCTACCTCGCGCTTTGCAGAAGCAACCGAGATTTTCGAAAAGCAAGCGAAAACTTTACAACATTGCTAAAATTTTCGACAATTGATACTTCCTTTATGAGTCACGTTTGTTCAAAGAAAATGTGAGCGTCGTACTTGGGGTAATCTAACTCTGTTTAGTTTCAACACGTAAAGATCATGAAACAAGTCGTGGTCCACACGGTTGGAGGCCACTCTGGCGGTGGCCGAGGAAAGCGTGGGGGTTGGCGCAATAGAAGAGGGACGTTTAGATCAAGACAGTAAGTTGTTTTTTTATAGATCGGACATTCGTTATAGACAGCTTTTTGTTGTCAGCAGATTCATTTTCAATTAATAGTAATTTTGTTTCAGGTGGCGTGATGGATCGAGATCTTCCGTCCCTGCCATCTCCGGCGCCATTACCGATGTCGTTCCCATCCCGATCTCCCCTCCCAACGAGGTGAACCAGTAAGTTTTGCAATGCTTTTTCAGTTGTTTCATGACCTTTCGTTGTGTTATTGTTTTGTTCTTCTTCAGAGTCGAGAACGAGAAAATCAACTCTGATTTCACGGCACAAGATGTGGATCAAAGCGAATGTCAGACCCCGCCTCATATTGCGGATGAGCCGAATGTTGTCTTGCTTCAGCCGGATGTTGATGTCAATGGGCCGGATGTTGTTGTACATGGACCGGATATTTCTCAAGATGAAACTGTTAAAGAGGTAGAACAGCGGAGTCACCAGCCGCCCCTCAACGCCCTCGAGCTTGCCAAAAAACGAGATGGCGAAAACGCGGATGCCGCTATCAAGGCCCAGATCAGACGACTTCAAAACGAACTCAAGAAGTCTCAACAGATCCAGGAACAACTGCAAAAACAATTGGAAGAACAACAGCAGAAAAAGGAGCGGAAAGCTGAACGAAAGCGCTTGCGGGAGGCGGCCACGAAGCAAGTCGATGAACAAGAAAAGGAGAACACGGAGCCTCTGAAGAAAGACGTGGTCACTATCTCCGAGGCCATCAAAAAGAAATTTAAGAAATAAAATTGATCTTATTTTGCTTTATTGCCTTTGCGCATCCTTAATATTTGTTTGGTTATTGTCGGTTAAGTTTAAATAAAAAATTATTGTTTTCAATACATTATATTGTTTGCATCCATCTTTGTGTTGTAATTCAGAAAAACTAAGAGATTTGTGAAATATATCACCTTCGGAGTGCTTCAAAGTCCCATACACCTGCCTTCGTATTGTGCAAGGCACATCGACAGTGTGTGTGAAACGTTTTTTAACGCGAGCTGGCGAGGCCGAAGGCCGAGCCAGCTCGCCGGCTGCTCCGGGAGGCTCCAGCCGAAGGCTGGAGCCGACCGGAGCCCTACTTACATAAGCGAAATTCAAATTTTTTCGTAATTGGCATGTGTAATATAATTTTGTTTTGGCTGTAACTTCTTTATACGTCGGATTTTCGGAAATTTTTTGATTGCGTCATGTTCAGCATAAAACTCTTCGACTTCTGAACCTTACTTGCTATTTACGATTATCGACCGGTCGAAAGTTAGGAAATTTTTTTTTGATTTTCTGAAATTTTTTGATTGCATCGTGTTCAGCATAAAATTCTTCGACTTCTGAACCTTACTTGCTATTCACGATTATCGACCGGTCGAAAGTTAGGAAAATTTTTTTCGATTTTCGATAATTTTTTAATTCCATCCTATTCCACGTGAAATTCTAAGCCTTCTGAACGCAACTTGCTATTGACAATTATCGACCAGTCGAAAGTTATTCGCAAGTACAATGTAAATTTTGTTTCGGCTGTAACTTCGGTCAATTAGCATAAAAATCGATCGGAATGGTCTCAAAAAATCACAAATTTAATCTACTACAATGTTTTCTATTTGATTCCTGCCTTTTCTTTCATTAAAAACATTTTTTTCTCACATTTCCATGTACAATATAAATTTGTTCTTGATATAACTCGCTTCAAATTGCATATAAAATTTTTATTTTTTTTTTTAAAATATCATAAATTAATTATATTTTAATTATTTGATCATTTCCAGCTTATTGCGACATCTTTTTTGTAAAGTTGCTTAACTTGCCAGATCGGACACGCGAAGAAGAGAGAGAGAGCGAGAGAGCGCGAAACGGAGAGAGGGCGCTGAGAGGCAGAGAGAGCGAGAAATAGCGCGCGTTTCTCTCGCTCTCTTCGTTTTTTCTCCCCATTTCTTCGCTTCGCAAGGAAATCGTTGATGCGCGTTCGGTTGGAAATATGTTATCTTTCGCAGAAGGATTTTCAAGTGAACTTTGCTTCACTGGCTAATTGAGCTTTGACTCAAAACTTTTATTTTCGCGCGCTACTATTTTTTTTTCGAATCGGATTTTTTTTCGTGAATTTCGATTCGAAAATTTTCTTTATTTTGAACTTCGCTTCAAAATATTTTTTTTCGATGCCTTGCCAAAATTATATTCGTATTCCTACTACTACTACTTCTACTACTACTAATAGGCGGATGCATAAATTCCCGCAACGGATGCAGATGAAATTGCCTGAGAGCAATATTCCTGCAAAGCAGATGAAATTGCCTAAGAGCAATATTCCTGCAAAGCAGATGAAATTGCCTGAGAGCAATATTCCTGCAAAGCAGATGAAATTGCCTAAGAGCAATATTCCTGCAAAGCAGATGAAATCGCCTGAAAATGGCAATATTCCTGCAAACATTTGCCAGCTTTATGCTGAGTCAAAGCAGACGAAATTGCCTGAAAAGGGCAATATTCCTGCAAAGCAGATGAAATTGCCTGAAAATGGCAATATTCCTGCAAACATTTGCCAGCTTTATGCTGAGTCAAAGCAGACGAAATTGCCTGAAAAGGGCAATATTCCTGCTAATCAGCTTTACGCTGAGGCCTGTCGTGGAGGCGGTAGAAAAGCCGTATCCCAGGCTCAGAAGCCATCTAAAGCCAAAAAAACGGCTTTATCTCTTCCTCAAAGTTGTGAATTGAATGTTGACGTTCAGAATGGTAAACTGCAGGAAGCCCGTAAGCCACGGAGAAAAGGCAGGGGTTTTGCCTCGCAGAAGAACAGATCGCAGGCGGCACAGAAAAAGCTGCCTGTTAATGCCACGAACTCCTCTGTCGAGATGGTTGCTGAAAGTAGTACACAGCCGACAAAAACCACATCTATGTCGGCTCCTTTGAAAAACCGTAAAACAAAAAGGCTCGGGTTTGCTTCTCGGAAACTAAAAAGTCAGTTGTTAAAACAGAAGGCATCTTTCAATTCCGCGAAATGTGGGGCGGAGGGTGATGAATCCAAAAGCGAATTTGAGGACGTTGAAAGTCTCTCCCAAAGTATGGATTCATTCCAATTTCAGGATTTGATTGAAACAAATCCCCATGTGAAACAGAACATGGATATTGCATATGAGCCATTAAAACATTTCAATGGTCATTTTTCAGAGGCGAACATCTTTGATCTTATGCCTTACGTCCTTTTAAGTGAAATTCTTCCCGAAGACTTCATGGCCGCTCATTATAACGGAGACTTTCAAGGGGACGTGAGTTGTAGCTTAATCTTCCCTCGCATGTTTCTTGAAGACGTTCAGATAGACCAAAGAGAATGGCTAACTGTCGTTGGATTAGTTTTCGGCATGGTTGAGTTTCTCCCATACTTCGACAGAAACTTTGGATTTGTAGCTGCAAGAGAATCTCAAGATCTTCCTGCGTTCAAGTCCACCAACATATCAGTCTGTCGGAAAAATAACGGCGGATCGTCGCATCAAAATGTCTCGCCTCGCCGCTATCGCGCACCAAATCCCAAGCCGCGGCTTGCAGTCGCAAAGCGATGATGAGCGACTCCGAGGCGCGACGATCCGCCGTTTTTTTCCCGACAGACCGATAATCTTTAAGCCGCGTGAAGGTCTTCCGGCTACGGTTGTTGTTCCGTTATTTAGCGGAAATCACTTTGCCGTTGCAATAATGGAAGTAAGGTCTCTGAGAAATGTCGAAGTCTTTATCATCGACACATACAGGCCTGTTCCCGTTTTCCATGCCAGAAGGAGCGACCTTCGGCAGTATTTCAAAAAGATTTTTGAATCAATGTTCGGTGGTCAATGCCCAGATTTGAAGGTCGAAAGCATTGACGATCATTTTGATCCTCAAAATGATTCTTGGAATTGTGGATTTCATTCTATCCACAACCTCTACATGTATCTGCTTTTCACGCAGAACAACGAGCCTTTCAGAAAGTTAGGCCTCACCGGAGTTGAAATTCGAAAGCTGGGATTGGACCAGTTCGAACGACAATTCCTGTTGTACGGTGGTGGGAAGGCGGAAAAAGCCAACCTGCGTTTGAAAGTCCCGGTTGTCCGACCGAGCAATCGCCCAACTATCCAGCAAGTCCGCGAATTGTTAGGCGAGGTTATTCCACAGGACAGTCGTCCGGTTGAGGAAATCAGGCGAGAAATTCCCAGAACCCCTCAAAGGCGCCGAGCAGTTGATGCTGTTCCAAGTACACCGACAAAAAAGACGAGATCGGTTCAAAAAGTCCAAGAAAAACCTGCTGTCGTTCAAGAACAGCCCGTATTTGCGGTTCCTGAAACTCCGAGAAAAAGGAGATCAGTTACTAAACCGCAGACGGACAAGGAAAACTCAAGTCAGATCGAGGCCTCCCCAAAGAAACCCAGGACTTCCCCGAGGGACAAATCAGCTGAGGCCAAACTTATGAAACGCTTTGACAGCGTTAACATTTCTCTCATGATAGCGAAAGAAGAGAAAGCCCTCGAGATTCCAGAGGTCTCTGAGGGTTACAAACTATTCGCTCGGGAAAAGTACTCCGGCAAAGATTATCGCTACATGGTTCAGTTGTTTAAAGACGCTACCCGTGTAAGCACGAACACAAAGACATTCGAAGAAAGGCTTCTCGGGGAATGCGAAATATCGCAAGTTCAAAACGATGACGACGGGTTTGATACTCGCCTCTTTACCTTCCCACTGGCTCAAATCATAAGCCAGTCAGCGAGACCTTTGGGACTCATCTCGCCAACATGGTCGCTGGATACCTCTGCCGATCCAGCCGACTATTGTTTAATTAACATTGGGACTCAGGAAAACGACGAAATTCAGTCGAATCCTGCCATATTCATTCCATTGATTATGAAAAATCGACCCTCACGAAAGACTAAAAAGATTTTAACATCCCGTCATTTCGTGTTGGCAATAATGTATAGGACCAGGCGATCAGCCAACGTCATCATGATTGATCCTGCTAGAACCGGGATTAAAGCTCAAGACTTTCACGAAATGTTTGTCAGAGTTTATCAGAATTGTTTCTGTCCTCAAACCGGCGCCGATCCGCGAGCTGAGATTTTCGTGACGTCGAATTCGTGTCAGTACTTCTGGACGGATAACGGCAATTTTTCTGCAAACTACACGGTTTGCAATGCTGAGCTTTACTTGCAAGCTACGCAAAAATATGCAAATGGAATGCCACCAAAGGATGTGGTTTGCTGGCCATATGGCCGAGCAGCAAATTATTCCATTCGAATCTTGAATTCCATGTTTTGCAGCTCTGCGACTGATAACGTGTATCATCAGCTCTGCCTAGACTTTGAAAATGAAAGTAAGGCCGACAGTCCGCCGTCACCTCCAAGAGTGGCAGTTGCGAAAACGCAGCCTGCACCAAGGCCTCCAACTCCTCCTCCATTCACTCCAAGAACCCAGACAAGGGGTATTGTGCGGAGGAGCCAAAAAGACTATGTTCAAAAAGAAGAACTAAAACGGTCAAAGTCTTCAAAGAAAGGGCGGACTACCATGCACTGTCAGGCCTCTCACAGCAGCGGCTATTATTATCGGCACCCATACCACGTGGGTCTTTTCTATGATTGCCCGCATTGTCAGGCTTGGTTGCTTTCTGGAGAGACTTCTTCAGAATGTTGCAAGAACGGCGAAGTGGTCATGCCAGACCTTCGAGACATGCCTGAGTTTCAACAAAATTTGGTTCTTGGAGAAGGGAGTTTCCCCCTGAAACCTCTTCCGAAGGAGTACTACCTCTGTTATCGAGATGAGAGCCCCAGATTAAACCAAATGTACGCATTTGGGGCCCAAACTGTACACCAGTCCGATCCACCTGGACGCGGAGCGCCAGTGGTTAACATTAATGGACAAACGACGTATCACGTCTCTAATCCGGAAGGAATCTCAAATACGCTTCTTCTTGGACAGTTGCTGAGATTTGCCCCGGATCTAACAGACGATGACGTTTGTGATCAATTGAAAAAGACAAAAATGTACACAAACATGTCGCATAAAGCTGCGTTTGATGCGTTAACAGCGTTCTTTTATAATTACATTCGCCAGTACAACGACTTGGCGCAAATGTATTATACAATTATTGAACGGCAGCAATTCCTTGGTTTGGAAGGCAAACCAAGTGAGAATTACTTCCTGAAAATTGTTGATGCAAAAGATCTGAGTCCTGAATTAAGACAACAGTTGCTTCCTAAGGACCTTCACGAAAGGCAGATCAATAAACCCGAAGTTGCGGAACATGCCGTTGTTTATCTAAACGATGAGAACGGTAATGTTAAGCTTCCGCCCGGTATGGTCGTGTTCAGTCGAGGTCACCAATCGGCGAAGTACAAAGCTTATTTGCCTGAACTTGACGCCTTTCTTTATCCTCTTCTGTTTATACATGGTGAGCCATACTTCCACCGACATCTTCCATTGCGTGATGTCGGTGCAGATGATATACTCCCAGAGCCTCGGCCTGGAGATGACGATGAGTTCTTGCCTTTTGAGGTGAATGTCGCGTTGAACCCGCTTCCTGCCGGGTTGAAAGAAAACGAGGACGACATTAATATTGAAGAATTGGAAGAAGCAGTCGACGAGAACGATGTTCTTCCCAAGAAAATAAAGCCGAAGGCAAAGAACTGCTCTTTCCGGATGCAAGTCAAGTATAGGCTTCAGCGAAGACCTCGAGATCGGGGAGTTCATCGAATTTATAACCACTATAAACTCGGTGGCCGCTGGATTTGTCAAAAAGCCTTGGGAATCGAAGAACAGGTCTTTGATTACTACGAGAAAAACGTAATTCCCAAGCGACGCGTCGACGCTAAATATGTCCGCGAAAACTTTTCGGAACTTCTCAAACAGAAGTCCAAAGGCTACCAGCTTGGTAAGCTGACTAGGATGCCTCCAGGTCACCGATACAGTCGTCGCTACTATCAGCGACAGTATTCGAACTGTATAGCCATGGCTCAGACATTGGGTTCGCCCAGTTTCTTTATAACATTGACTGCGAACTCGGAATGGCCTGATTTCCTCCATCTTTGCGGAAACAAAGGAGTTGATCCGAAGAATGCATATGACATTCTAAACCGAGTCTTTCGACAAAAGGTTGTCGAACTCATGAAACGTATTGCGCCTCCGCAGAAAGGACAGCAAGGGTGGTTTGGGCAAAGCCTAGGCTACTACATGTCTTTGGAGTTCCAGAAACGAGGAAATCCACATGTTCATTTGCTCCTCTGGACTGAACATAAGGAAATGTCGGCTCACGTTGTCGACGAATTCATCTCGGCCAGATTCCCAGATCCTGTCGCAGATGCTGAGGTTCATGACAAGGTTCTTCGGTACATGATCCATGACTGCAAAGAAACCGATCTGTGCCGGGACAAAAACGGAAAGTGCACCCGCCGCTATCCTCAGGAAATTGCTCCGGAAACCAGAATTGGCCCTGGATATGTGGCCTATCAAAGGTTGGAACGTGGAAAGGACGTCGCAGTCCCAGTCCATTCAGGAAGTAAAATTGTGGACGGCGTTCAACGCGTCTACACCGATCGTCACGTTGTACCATACAACAAGACTTTGCTCACATGGTGGGACGGTCATTCAAATGTTGAGGCCGTGTGCACCAACGGCACCCCCGCATACGTATTAAAGTATATCTTAAAGGGGAATGACCACGCCATCGTTCAAGTCATTTCTGAATTTGAAGCTCTCGAAGCTCAGAAACAGAAAGAAAAAGAACTTGAAAAAGAAAGACAAGCGAAACTCGACACGGATCATCCGTTCGAAGAGAACGAGATTGACCCCGAGAAAAAAAATCCGAACGAAAAGATCTACGGAATCGAGATTAACCCAAAGACAAAGGAAGTGGACATTCATGAGCCCGAATACTATATGGGTGCGAATTATATCACGCCCCAAGAAGCTCACCTTCGCATTTTCAGCTTCGGGCCTGTCTTTGTCTCCCATATTGTGGAACAAATTGGAATCCACATGCCCGGGGACAACTATGTTTACGCGGCTGACGGAGAGCCTATCGAGAACATAGCGCAAAAAGTTAGCAACCTGAATCCAAACGTGTATTCAAGGTTGACCGCATACTTTCAGTACTGTGCAGAAAACGCTGAAGAAACAGCTGATCTCACGTACATTGAATTAAACAGAAACTATGCGTACGACTACAAGACAAAGACGTACAGAAAGTACAAAAAACAAATGAAAAAGATCGTGCAAATGCGCGAAGTCTCGGTGAAGAACAAGGAGTTATTGGCCTTGAGGTCCATAATTCTGACAGTTCCTTGCCTCAAGAGCTTCGAAGAGTGCCGAACGCACGAAGACCAGATCTTCGCCACGTTCTTGGAAGCTGCACAAGCCCGAGGACTCTTCCATTCAGATGTCCTGTGGCGACATGCCCTTGATCAAGCCCGGGGCCGTACATGTAAACACTTTGTGTTTTTATTTGCCCAAGTACTGATTGAGGCAGGTCAACTTATTGAAGACCAGCTTCAACTGTGGAACGATTACAAGATCCACATGTTGATGCCTCCGTTCCACAGACCCAATA